TTTTCATCATTAGTATATAGGAATGCCAGAGATTTCTGTGCATTAATTTTGTATCCTGCCACTTTACCAAATTCATTGATTAGCTCTAGTAGTTTTCTGGTAGCATCTTTAGGGTTCTCTATGTATAGGATCATGTCATCTGCAAACAGTGACAGCTTTACTTCTTCTTTTCCAATTTGGATTCCTTTTATTTCCTTTTCTTCTCTGATTGCTGTGGCTAAAACTTCCAAAACTATGTTGAATAATAGTGGTGAGAGTGGGCAACCTTGTCTTGTTCCTGATCTTAGTGGAAATGCTTTCAGTTTTTCACCATTGAGGATGATGTTTGCTGTGGGCTTGTCATATATGGCCTTTATTATGTTGAGGAAAGTTCCCTCTATGCCTACTTTCTGCAGGGTTTTTATCATAAATGGGTGTTGAATTTTGTCAAAAGCTTTCTCTGCATCTATTGAGATGATCATATGGTTTTTCTCCTTCAATTTGTTAATATGGTTTATCACATTGATAGATTTGCGTATATTGAAGAATCCTTGCATTCCTGGAATAAACCCCACTTGATCATGGTGTATGATCCTTTTAATGTGCTGTTGGATTCTGTTTGCTAGTATTTTGTTGAGGATTTTTGCATCTATGTTCATCAGTGATATTGGCCTGTAGTTTTCTTTCTTTGTGACATCCTTGTCTGGTTTTGGTATCAAGGTGATGGTGGCCTCGTAGAAGGAGTTAGGGAGTGGTCCTCCCTCTGCTATATTTTGGAAGAGTTTGAGAAGGATAGGTGTTAGCTCTTCTCTAAATGTTTGATAGAATTCGCCTGTGAAGCCATCTGGTCCTGGGCTTTTCTTTGTTGGAAGATTTTTAATCACAGTTTCAATTTCAGTGCTTGTGATTGGTCTGTTCATATTTTCTATTTCTTCCTGATTCAGTCTTGGCAGGTTGTGCATTTCTAAGAATTTGTCCATTTCTTCCAGATTGTCCATTTTATTGGCATAGAGTTGCTTGTAGTAATCTCTCATGATCTCTTTTATCTCTGCAGTGTCAGTTGTTACCTCTCCTTTTTCATTTCTAATTCTATTGATTTGAGTCTTCTCCCTTTTTTTCTTGATGAGTCTGGCTAGTGGTTTATCTATTTTGTTTATCTTCTCAAAGAACCAGCTTTTAGTTTTATTGATCTTTGCTATTGTTTCCTTCATTTCTTTTTCATTTATTTCTGATCTGATTTTTATGATTTCTTTCCTTCTGCTAGCTTTGGGGTTTTTTTGTTCTTCTTTCTCTAATTGCTTGAGGTGCAAGGTTAGGTTGTTTATTCGAGATGTTTCCTGCTTCTTAAGGTGGGCTTGTATTGCTATAAACTTCCCTCTTAGAACTGCTTTTGCTGCATCCCATAGGTTTTGGGTCGTCGTGTCTCCATTGTCATTTGTTTCTAGGTATTTTTTGATTTCCTCTTTGATTTCTTCAGTGATCTCTTCATTATTAAGTAGTGTATTGTTTAGCCTCCATGTGTTTGTATTTTTAACAGATCTTTTCCTGTAATTGATATCTAGTCTCATGGCGTTGTGGTCAGAAAAGATACTTGATACAATTTCAATTTTCTTAAATTTACCAAGGCTTGATTTGTGACCTAAGATATGATCTATCCTGGAGAATGTTCCATGAGCGCTTGAGAAAAATGTGTATTCTGTTGTTTTTGGATGGAGTGTCCTATAAATATCAATTAAGTCCATCTTGTTTAGTGTATCATTTAAAGCTTGTGTTTCCTTATTTTTTTTCATTTTGGATGATCTGTCCATGGGTGAAAGTGGGGTGTTTAAGTCCCCTACTATGAATGTGTTACTGTCGATTTCCCCTTTTATGGCTGTTAGTATTTGCCTTATGTATTGAGGTGCTCCTATGTTGGGTGCATAAATATTTACAATTGTTATATCTTCTTCTTGGATCGATCCCTTGATCATTATGTAGTGTCCTTCTTTGTCTCTTTTAATAGTCCTTATTTTAAAGTCTATTTTGTCTGATATGAGAATTGCTACTCCAGCTTTCTTTTGGTTTCCATTTGCATAGAATACCTTTTTCCATCCCCTCACTTTCAGTCTGTATGTGTCTCTAGGTCTGAAGTGGGTCTCTTGTAGACAGCATATATAAGGGTCTTGTTTTTGTATCCATTCACCCTGTAGCTCTTTGTTCCTCTTACCCATTTATCACAGTTGACTTACATTAATCATATTTCTGAACTTCTCTTGGGGCATCTCTACCCCCAGACTTCTAGATTATAAGCTTTGTAAGTCCAGGTGAAGCCACCTTACTCACATGGCTATTCCTGCTTCTTCCTAATGCCTCGAATCAGCACATCCCTCCATTGATTTCAATCAGGAAGTATCTATTTATCGCAAATATAGATGTGATCTTTAATTGTCTCAGTGGGAAAGAATATTGTAATGTTCAGTGTTGGCAGTTGTGTGAAGAAATAGGTGCTCTTTCTGTACTACTTGTGAGATTTTAAAATAATACAGTGTTTCTTCTGAGCACGTTGTTATTAATATGTATCAAAAGACTTAACGATATGCCCATTCTTCACCCATCAGTTCAACAATCTAATCGTTTATTCTAAAGAAAGAATGTATTAGATGCATTAGAAATTTTACCACAGTGTTCATTGGAGTATATTTTACAATATTGAAAAATTGGAAACATGCACATGTCCAATGATTGAGGATAGTATTTAAGTAAAGTATGGTGTACTTCTGTGTCTGAATACTATTGAATCATTAATGTATTGTCATATTTTATTTTTTGAACATGTGTTGATGTGGGGAAATGTTCAAAACATATTAATTTTTAAAAGCAAGTTATAAAACAGTTTGAACAGTGTACATTGAGGGCCCCAGGGTTTCTCTAAAGGAAACATTAAGAGGCAGCAGTGTGGCTTAGAGGGTCACAATTATAAGTGGGCACTTTGTTTCTATTTACACCTGTGTTCATTTGAGGGAGGCTTTGGGGACCTTGATAGTAACTGTGGGGCGGGGGGTGGAACAGCTAAAGATCACAAGGTCATCCTTTTTTTTTTTTAAAAAAAAAGTAACATAAAAGTGTATTGTGTGTGTGTGTGCGTGCGTGTGTGTATGAAGATATAAACCAAAATATTACTAGTTTTTCTGATTAGGAAGATATGAGTATTTCCTTTCTCTTTTTTTCTGTATCTGCATTTTCCAAAATTTCTAATTAAAAATATATCTTGTGTTAGTAGGAATAAACAATAAATGTTACTGAAACGCAGACAGAGGAATGGAAATGACAGTGCTCTTTGGCCTCTTGAAGTTCAGTGAAGGGCTAGTAATACTGCGATCATGTATTGAGCTAAGTCCTAAGAGAACGTTTGTTAGGTTGCTTTGCAGCCACCTGGCCTAAGGAAGATGAGGAGGAAAGCCAGGAAGGCTTTCCAGAGGAGGTGACACACGAACTGAATCTTTTTTTTTTTTGGCTGCGTTGGGTCTTCGTTGCTGCGCGCGGGCTTTCTCTAGTTGTGGGGCGGGGGGGGCACCTCTTCGTTGCGTTGCGCGGGCTTCTCATTGCGGTGGCTTCTCTTTGTTGCAGGCTCTAGGTGCGCGGGCTCAGTAGTTGCGGCACACGGGCTTAGTTGCTCTGCGGCATGTGGGATCTTCCCGGACCAGGGCTCGAACCCGTGTCACCTGCATTGGTAGGCAGATTCTTAACCACTGCGCCACCAGGGAAGTCCTGAACTGAATCTTGAAGGATGAGTAGGAGCTAGGGAAGTAGGTGGGGGTGGACAGAGATCGTCCCCAAAGAGGAATCCTCAAGTGCAGAGGTGTGCAGACACGTGAGAGATGGGGTATCTGAGATGATGTGAGGAAGTCGCAGTATGAGAACCAGGTGCTGTGAGAGGCTGTTTCCACATAGTGTCTGCATAGCTGAGCGTAACGTGCAGAGAAACTGGAAGTAAGGGCTCTGAGCACGCAGTCCTGCTTTTCACAATATGGCCCTTGGACTTTGCTCTGAGGACCTAATGGATAGTTGCTTAGAGTGGGAATGAGATGCTCAAATCTGTCCTCTGAAAATTTGCGTACTTACTATGTGGTGGGTAAGTTCAAGTCCACTACCCAGTGAACAAGACCAGCGATGCTCTTCCTTTGTGAAGTTGATCTGCCCTGTTACTACCTTCCCTCCACCAAGAAGCGTCGCAGGGTGGCCTGGACCAGGCTAGTCTTTTGAATATCCCGCAGTTTACTCAGATACACAGCAAGGGCTGGGAGCTGTGGGGCTGAAGAGTCTCAGCTTCTTCATTCTACGTGCATTATTTGCTGCAGGCCCACTGGTGCACTGGGCACCCCACTTACAAGGAGGGGAGCGGACATGGTCCCTGTCCCTGTGGTGTCGCCTGTCTTCTGAAAGAGAAGCCCTTGTTGGGTGCCCATGTGGCTCCCTACATGGAGTGTCTCCATAAACACCTGGCTCCTCTGAGAGTGGCAGCAGCGACAGTTAAAAAGGGAGGTAAAGGGACTTCCCTGGCGGTCCAGTGGTCGAGACTTTGAGCTTCCACTGCAGGGGCTCAGGTTTGATCTCCGGTTGGGGAACTAACATCCTGCATGCCGCTTGGTGCAGCCAAAAATAAGGGGGGCTGGGCAGGAGGAGAGACCACCGGGAGGCCAAGCAGGTCCTTCCCTGCACCCGCCTCACAAAACCTGGCTCTTGACTTGAGGACACGGGGAGGGGGAAGGGTGAGCTGTGGCAAAGCGAGAGAGTGGCATGGTCACGTATACACTACCAAACGTAAGGTAGATAGCTAGTGGGAAGCAGCCGCATAGCACAGGGAGATCAGCTCGGTGCTTTGTGACCACCTAGAGGGGTGGGATAGGGTGGGTGGGAGGGAGGGAGACGCAAGACGGAAGAGATATGGGGACATATGTATAACTGATTCACTTTGTTATAAAGCAGAACTAACACACCATTGTAAAGCAATTATACTCCAATAAAGATGTAAAAACAACAACAACAACAGCCCGGCTCTTGAGGCCCAGCTCCCTCGATCTCACACTGTAGAGGTTTCAAGACCTTCCAGGCTCCAGGCCTCACAGTTAAGGTCTCCTTTCATTCTCTCAAAGGACCCTAAGAGGCTTGTCACTGCCTGTTTTATAAATGAGAGTTCACAAGTGGCATAAAGGAGACCTCAGCCTATGTCTGCAGGATTCCAGAGTTCTGGCTCCGAATCCTGCCCAGAATCTTCTGTGTATCTAAACAACCTGTTCAGACTCACCCTCAAATGTTGGCCATTATCACTTGCTTTCATGTGTTTTTGCTACTTACATGGCACCTAAAACAGCAGTTTGCAAGAATGAAAATCTCTCTTGTTTGAATTCCCATCAGTAATCGAGGGAATGCAGATGTAATCATCACTTACCAACCTCCAAGCTCCAGTGGTCGATTATACACAATTATATACAAAATTCGTAAAACATCAACACTTTAACACAAATGTAATTAGACGAAGTTTACGTGGAGGAACACTAAGACCCATAGGAGTAGCGTGATTTGCTGGAGGACTTGGAAATTAATGCCCGGCTGTTCTAGCTCCAAAGGCTGTGAGTATTTCCCCGCTGTCTTTGGGGCATGCACGTTTTCTTAGTTTTCATGAAGTAACAGAGAAATTCAAGTGCGACTTCTACTGACAGTCTTAAGGAATTCTCAGCACAATGATGCACGCAGTGTGGTTCTCAGTCTTGGGTGAAGGAAGCCCGGGTGGAGTTAGGGTGTTGCAGGAGCAGAACCATGAAGTGTCACAATCTTCCTCTGCCGTTTACTGTCTGTGAAATGAGATCATGTGTGCAGATACTCAGCAGAGTGCCTGGGCATCGTGAGCATTTGATAAATACGGGTGATTGAAGTCCCACATTGGGAAAGCACTGCCACCACTTGTGGCACATGTGGGTCCTCAGATGGCAGTGTGGAAGGGAGCGGATGTGAAACCAGAGAGGGCATCAGGGAATGGCTTTGCGAAATGGGAAACAGACAGTATAGGGAAGGTGTGGCGAACCATGGTGGGGAGAAATAATAGGAAATTCGATAAATGATGGGAGGAGACATTTTGGGGGCAGAAAAATTGAGGGAAAGGGAATTTCATGAGGAGTGAGAGATGCCAAAGGGATGAAGGAGAGCAGGACAGGTGCCCAGGAAAAGAGGGTGAGCTCTGGCCATCTGGGATACCCCAGGATCTCTGCTATGTGATATCCTACCAAGAGAGGGGCCCTCGCATAGTACATAAATAAAGACCCACACAGTGAGAGGCACCTAGGAGTGGGTAGCTTGGACTCCACAATGGGAATACATGACTTACCCCACTGAATGAATTTAGCCCTGGAAATACAGACATACAACCTGTGTCACAGAAACTTCACATGGGTTTTCAGTCCTGCCTTTTTAGATGGTGTTCTGTTTAAGTAACAATGTGATGTCGCTCCCTAGACAGCCCTGCGAAAATTAAATGACCATCTAGTGACAGAGTCCCCGTGCTTACATTTTAGAATCCAAGAGAACTCAGCTGCTCTGAAGTGATCATTGAAACAATTTGGTTAAGACAGTTTTAGAAGCATCAGTGAAGGGGACCTACATTTACTCTAGTGGTTAAAATAGAAAAGAAAAAAAAAAAAAACGAAGCGGGAGAGAGACAGAAAGTGACAGCTTTAGGAGAAAACCACAATCATAAGTTTTAATTCAGGAATTTCAAAAATAGCCCTTGGAAGGTGTCTATTTTCAATTGCGACGACTCCCTTCAGGGGGTGTTGGGAAGACTATCTGCAAAAAAGATCTCTTTTCAGTTCAGTCACTCGTGAGGGTGAGTCCTTGTCCCGGATTTGCTGAGATTCTCGCGTTCTTTTTTTTCTTTCTCTGGAATTCCATAGACAGTAATTAAGGAACTGGAGGCCAGCGGGAGGTCAGGGAGCCTTCGTCAGTGAAAACGGGGATTGTTTGCCACGTACAACACTCCCTTTTTTCCTTGTGGTGAATAGGAGATTTGCTTAGAGCTGATGACTTCTGCCTTTCTTACAAGTTATGCAGTTAGCGAGGAACTGGGGGATCAGGCCACAAGCAGCTAATTGAAACCAGTGTCTTCACTTTCTTCTCCTCCGGATGGTAAGCTGTGCCGGCAGAGCTGCCCGATCATGTAACTTCCAGGGAGTATGTTCGAGGAGTGCCTCACCATCACTTTGAGATTCCAGAGGTGGCAAGCGGGAGTGAAGACGCGCTCGGAGTGGGGAGGGGGCGGGGGTCCCGGACGAGCTCAGAATCACCCCTGAGGCCTGCTCAATGCCGAAGCCGGTAAGTTCGCTGGACACGCTTCACGTGAAGGGGGAAATGTGCTTTCCGTCGCTTCAAGGAAAAGCTTTTTAATTGTTCCCGGCTATGATGCTTCCGTCTTTCCTATCCAAATTCCTCTAGATTCATCCTTCTTCCCTTGTTTACTTCCCTACCTTATAACCCAGAGCATTCTTTCCTAGCTTGCTCACCCGATACTAAGGCATAGCTTTTGGAGGAGAGGAGTGAATATTATTTTGAGAATAAAGCGGGCATGCGAGGGGTTCGGTGTACGTGGGGCTGGGAGCTTGGTTGCCACTTGTGGAGGCTTCTCGTGCGGAAGACTTGGTTTCGGGGCAGCTTTGCACACGGCTTTTCATAAACCTACGATCGGTTTCCTTCTCTTAACTTGAAGGTTAACGCCATCGACATCGTGTGAATTTCACAGGCGAATATCTCGCCAATGTCAGAATACTTTTCAGAAGTGCATAAATATAGTGTTCCCGAGCATAGTTCCGGGGCGAGATAAGTTAACTTAGTCGGGACAGCATGCTACGTGTTTGGAGCTGGGGAAGCAGGCTGAGTAACTGTTTCTGCAAAAGGCACAGCTGTAATCCTGTGCTCAGCAAGGTCTCCAGCAGTCCCCAAAAGGGTTCTAGTTGCTCCTTGCAAGTTCAGTTTAATCTTTATCACAGCACGTCACTCCTGTGCCTGCGCGGCTGTGCCACGCAGCTTTTGGAAAGCATTTGTTCTGGCACATCATGATTTGCAAGAACTGTTTGTTACAAGGTCAGGGGCGAGTGAAGCATCTGTTCCCGACCTGCAGTGACAGGCTTCAGTTGGACAGTAAGGGGATGCTTTGCTCCATCCAGCACACACATTTTTGTATCTACAGATGCTATTAATTGTGTTCCCTTTTTTCTGATTATCCTCAATGTAGCTGTGTTATAAAAAGTTCTCCACGCTGGCTCCGTGTCTTTCCCATTAGAACATTGCAGATGTGTCAGGGACGCACATGTTCCAAAAGAAGCCGAGAAGGAGGGAGGCTCCACCCTCCGTCACAAGCCAAAAGGGCCCCATAGGCTCCTCCTCATTCAGCAGCCTGGCAGGCGAATTGTGTACTCTCTCTTTAAAGCAGCTATAGTTTTGTGCCTTGGCTTGGTCAATTTGTTATGGTTTAAAACTGTGGAGCCAGCTGTCTGCAATCTGATGTAATGTTGCCATGGAAACCAGAAATGAAACACTTAAGCATTCACCACAGAATTACTACATATAGCATTAGCCAAAGTAATTAAAAGTTGAGCCATATGGGCTTTCTGGTGGAAAAATATGCAACAGGGAGGCTGGAAATTAAATGTTTCTATTTACAGTATTGTAAATCCACATCCTTTGGTGGGGTAAATCGGTTGCCTTTTCTACTACAGGTTTGGAGGTGGGGGGTTTTATACAGATGATTGAGTTTTCACCTTCTAATTTAGAAGCTGGTCAAACTAAAGTTTATCTTAGCACTCTGACCTGGGCTAGGACAGGGAGGGGAAGAGATGCCATCTTGTGTTTGAATGTATATAAACATACACTGTTATTTTTTTCACTGTAGTTTATTTAAAACCTGTTTTATAATAACTCTGAGTCTATTTCTTGGAATCAATCTTTCATTTTATATACATTGCAGATTTCCCTCATCTTCTACAAAGTTCCTCTAGGTGTGGGGGTTTCCTTTATATACCCATATCTGTTTCTTAATTTAAAAAAATTCTCACACCCCCATCTCACACATGTATCGGGGGGGGTGTATTTTCTGAATAAAAAGACAAGTCTTTTCTTCAGCATTTGGGAAGTGGCACATGCTTATTTAAAAGGAGAGACGTGAAATGGGGAATTTAAGCTTTACTCCCTAGTTTAAAAGAAAACTGCATGCCGTTTACGGAGTCTTTATGTTGAAACAGCTGGAGAGAATTTTTTAAAGGCAAATATTTCACAACTCTTTTTCCTCTGGACTCAGAAGGAAGTGAGAAGTCAACACCTCTCTCAATAAAAAGTATCCTTGGGATACACTGTTCAACTACCTCCAGTGACTTCCGGGCTCACTTAAGAGGAGATTTTCTATTTTTAAAATGATAATAAGATATATATATATATGTCTTGAATGACTTTGGTTTTATCCTCCATGTCTCTTCATATGAATTGTGCTGCATCTGTCTCATCTAGTGTTCAAAAACATGCTAATGCAAAGAAAGTTATTGGTTGCTATGATTTGTCAGTGGCAAACACCTCCAAACTTTTCGTTTTTTTAAAGAAAAAGAAAAATAACACTAACTCAAAGTTCTAAAGAGTTCTTGTTCCTCAAAAATAGATGGAACATGTGAAAGCAATTAAATAAGTACCTGGAATATGTTCTTTTTCGCCCCAGTGAATCTGGGGCAGAGGAAGGTAGGATGGTGGGGCATGGGGTGGGGTAGGGGAGGGCATTGCCTTTAAATCTGCTGTCCTGGTTCAACTGTTTTGATTTTTCCCTGAAAAGCTCCTTCCGGTGGTCTGTTTCCTACAAGTGATTTGTGTCTTCGGTGGACTCAAGATTTTTGTATTACTCCTTTCCGGGTCCCATTTCTCTTTTTACTTCCCCCCAGCCCCCATGCACACCACCACCAGCAACCCCCAGGCTAGGTATGAGTGATCTTCATCCTGTGATGCAGCTTCCTGGAACTCATTTATGGACAACCTGTGCTTATTTCATTCTCACTTGATTTCAGAATTTTTTAACGTGAGGGTTATAGATGGTCTAGATTTGTAGGTACAGAAGCTTTCTGTAATCAAGTGTTGACTCTTCTATTAGAAGTACTTGACTCTCGAGATACATCAAGAAGGCAGAATGTTTTTCAGTGTTTATGTGTAATTCCATGCACTGTGGTTTTGTTCAGGTGCTGATTACCCAGAATGAGGGCTAACCAAGTTCTCATTCCTCTGGTTGACCACTCTGACCATTCCATCGCAAACCAACAATTCATCCAAGAAAAAGTAAAATTCAAATCAGACAATTGCCATTATGTAGTAGAAGCTGTACTTATTATTTTAATTTGTTACATTTTAAGATTTAGACCAAATGCCTTAAGCCTGATTACCAGCATGCAATGTATCCTCCTTCCCCTGTTATCTGGGCGTCGATTTCTGCTCTTCATTACCGGGTAACCAGCAGTTAACCTTAATTCTGAAATGTGTATGCAATATTTTACCTAGGACCTTTAAAGAAATTGGACATTGACATACTTCACAGAAGGGAAGCCTGAGAAATACCCCTGTCCCGATGACTGGCCATTCATGGGTTGTAATAATTATTCTTTAGCGAGTTAATGGTTTGCTTATAATTTTGCAGTGAGAAAGTGCAATGGCTCCAGTGCTGGGAACTCCAGGGCGAGGACAGAGGCCATGATATGGGTCGTATCTCCCTTACGCAGGGCCAGAGTGCTACAGAAATACTTGTGGACTCACAGCAGGCACTATTTTTTTCTGTCTAAGTAATTAATATAATCCCTACCTCATTTCCTCTTGAACTGTTCTCTGCTAACTCTTGCTTACCTATTTCGTTTCTATAAAATTGGGATTAACGAGAGTATTTCTTGGAGGGGGGAGTTCTCCTTATTAGGCTCGTGTTCGGAGATGTGGTTTGTTTTTGGTTGGAGGCATTTCTCTCCGGACTCTGTCAGTGAACTAGGTTGGAGGAGATGGAGAGAAGGCTGTTGGCAGGATGCGCGGGGTGAACTGGAGCCGCTCCGAGCGGCCTGGGCTCTGTGGACGCTGCGCACTTCCGCCGGGCTCTGCGCTCCCGGGGATACCTGCGCGCCAGGCCCGGGCAGCTCATCCACTGAGTTGGAGACTCTGTTTCACATTTTGAACAGATAAAACAGAGGAAGCTGCGTGTTGAATGTTGAAGCTAACTTGGAAACGAGACCCGCATTTTGTTCACAAGGAAAGGATTGTTTTTCGCTTGGGTCACTGCTGCAGAGAGACTTTTTTTCTCTCTCTCTCTCTGTAATGTTTGATACTTGAGGGAAAACAGCTGGACTGAGCATACTTGAATCACTGCAGAACGAAATGGGATGCTGGGGAATATGGACAGGACTGTATGGCTGAAAAGGTCAGCTTTTTCCCTTGTCCCTCGTGGAGGAATGCAGGGCCTGTCCCCATGCTCGCCTTGTGAGCTCTCGGAAGGAGCTGGGAGAGGCCGAAGGAGGGATGGCTGAGATGTGGCAGACGGTCCTCACAGATGGGACCGAAGATGGCTTTCTGCATCTCTTCCGTTTTCCTGCCCTGCTGTTTTTGATTTTCGGGGAGGACTGGAACAAGTCAACAGAATTTGGGTTTGGAGAAGTAGTCGATGACCACGTTAAACAGCGAGTCCTGATGGGCCAGACAGAGAGCCTGGCCCAAACCACAGCAGTGTAACTGGAATTACAGGGCCGGCCTAGGAGAGCATCCTGCCCGAGTTCTCTGAAGGAGACCCGGAATTCATTGAGACAAATGCACCACATGCCGGGCCGGGGCGTCGGTGTGTGTTGTGGTGCCTAGGACCTAATTCTCCACCAAATTGGACCTTAAGATGATGATACGTGTTGCTCCAAGAACCTGTTGGGCAGCTTTGTCGGTGCCCCAAGTTCAGCTGCAGAGCTGCCCAGAGTTCAGACTGGCAGTGAGGCGGAGCTGCACCGGGCAATTATCTGATTAACTTTTCCTTTGTTTCTTTGACAGTCAAGAGAACAGTCGGATGATGAGACGGAAGAGTCGGTGAAGTTTAAGAGGTTACACAAGCTGGTAAACTCCACTCGCAGAGTGAGAAAGAAACTAATCAGGGTGGAAGAAATGAAGAAGCCCAGCCCTGAAGGTAAAAAAGCAAACTCCACCCCGCTTATTCTAAAGTCAATCATTTGGGGTCCGTCTGTCGGTAGAAAATATGAAAGTAGAAAATGGCTTGAGTTCCGGCTGAGGCTGGCGGAGGGAGAATTCGGGTCTGCAGGTGAGCAGGGCGACGCTCAGTACCTTCCGGGACGAAGGATCCTGGCGTCCAGCATTCCAGGGGCTTAGTTATTTCAGCATTACAAAGAGGGGAAATGGCTAGCGTATGACAATGAAATCTTCTCAAGATGTGGTATGGCTTTCATTTTGACCTTACACCATTTTATATAAACTTTATTTTATATCACCTTCTGAGCATAAGCCTCTGCTCCCAAAAGGATGGTGGTTCTAACCCTGTGAATTTAGTCCAAAGTTAATATACCTCCATCTCAAACATCTAACAGACGAGGCACTTAATGTCCTTTCAGATCTCTGAGGGATGATTTGTTCTCCCTGTAAACAGTCTCAAGTCTCGGTTCCAATGAGGCTTTAAGGACCTCACATTCTACGTGGATTCTTAAGAGCTAGATCCCTGGCTAAGCCACTTGTCAGAGGAAGCAATAATATCGAAAGGGGCATGAGCTTGGATTTATTGCAATGAACAGTTAACCTTTGAAGTGCAATTATGACAGTTTGAATCTCAACCGTGTCCATCTTTCTTATTGTTAGTAAAGTGTGTTTGCAGCATCTTGTAAAATTCTTGCAAAAAAGTTACAATAAAAGAGTAAGATTTCCTGTTTGGAAAAGAATTAGTGAATTGAAGGAGGTACTGGAAAGAATTTTTTTTTTTTAAAGCACATTACTTGTTGAAGTGTCACATCTACATTGCGAGGAAGTTCAAAATTTTAACATGTAGGTTTAAAAAATATCATTATAGAGGCTTTTTTGTTGTACATAAATCAAACCTTGGAAGGAACTGAATTCCCCTTTATTTAAATAGATGAGGGTTTCTTGTTGTTATTACTGCTGTTCTTAAAATTTTTGTTTGATGTAATTATCAGTTTAAATCCCCTGGAGGAATACTGAAGGTGAGGGGGTAACTGTGGGAAAGTGGAGCTAAAAAGGGAAAAGAAAAGAGGAGAGAGACAGAGAAACAGAGGGAGAGACAGAGGGAGAGAGACTATCTGCTTCACGGCCAGTTTCATAAACTTAGAGCTGTGTTTAGTTCCAGGGTTTCATCTGGGTGTCTTTTGCATGGTAATTCCGGGTGCAATGCTGATTTACATTTGGCTGTTTTAATACCTGCCTGTCTGTCATGATTTCACAGGACAGAATATAGCCTGACTTCCTCTCCCCGTGGCAGCTCTTACTGAAATCACACACAGTGTCGTTTGGTAATATTAAGTAGAACCATATGGAAGAGCCATCATTCAACCTTGGGAGTGTTGCATTTTTAAAACAAACCTCATGCATGCTTGCCAAAGTTAAATCTCATATATCATGCATAGATTGGTGGGTCTTATCCATAAATGAGATAAATGGGAGCAGTACCTGGTCCTGGGCCTACCACCCAGGAGCCCCTTCGTATGTGATAGTCATATGTGTTGGGGCAGCCTTTCCACTAGAATAACACTCATAAAAATGCAGAAATGTTCTCATTTGTATATTTATGTCAGAGTAAATCAATTCAACTGTCTCTGAGAGACATAGTTGAAAAAATGGGGAAATATACCCAAAGAGGTAGCTGTAGGGTGAAAAGTAATAACTATACGGACTTTTAGCTCTGAACTTTGATTCATCTTGATGTGAATTAGGTGTCCTAGACAGAAGATGGGTTTAGTGAGTTTGAATCCCCAGTGACACGTCTGGTGTCTGGGGAGCTGGGGTGCTATTGACCAGGCTTGCCATTGGCACCAGGAGAGGCCCCAGGTGTGTGTGCAGCTGAGGTCATCCACTGCAGGCTGCCCCCAGCACCGTGCTAGATGAGAACGCCTCCATCCTGTGCATGGTAGAACGTTCTGCAGTTCCTCAGCAGCAACAGAACTGATGCTGGTACAGAGAGGCCACCCTGGCACCTGCTTTGCAAAGCTGGAGAGATTCATACGCCCAACAACCCCTCCTCCTGCCCCTGGGCCTTCAAAGAGCTGATCCTTTTGACTTCCCTCATGCCTGTGCCAATACTAAGTTGTCTGAATAATAATGAGCATTTACGGAGAGCCTTCTGTGCGCCAGCCACTTTCCTGAACACTTTAGATTTTATGTTCCTGTTAATATGTCATCTTCAGAACAGCCACCAGAGGCAGGCACTGATACTACCCTCATTTCACAAATAAAGAAACTCCGACAGACACAAAGAGGGGAAGTAATTTACTCATGTCACCGAGCCAGCTGGCCGGAGACCCAGAGTTAACGTCTGAGCAGCCTGACTCCTCTACCTCCTGGGTCTGTACTCTGCTCCCACCCCATCTCTCACCCCCCAGCTCTGGAGTCTTGGAAAAGCCAGGAGAGTTACAATCCATCACCCAGTCTTACCCTTGTAACTTGAGTTGCAAGTCCTTATCTGGGGCGTGCATGACCTTAGACAATATGAACTTGTAGGCCAGGGCAGCGCCCTTCATCCAGCCATTTCTGTGTCTTCTACCCAAAGCTGATACCCACCCACTCTCTTCCCTCATTTCTCCAGTTCATCTGTAACCTGCTAATGAATCATTAGCTTTTGTACAGTGCTTTTCGGCTTATGAAGTACCTTCACATCTCTTTTCATTTAATTTTATCCTCTCAATAACCTTATAATAGATACTAATAAAATAGGTAGGCAGTGGGAATTCCCTGACTGTCCAGTTTGAGTTCAATACCTGGTCGGAGAACTAAGATCCCACAAGCCTCATGGCACGGCCGAAAAAATAAATAAAATAAAATAAAATAGGTAGGCATTATTCCAGGTGAGGAAACAGACTCGGAGAGATGAAATAATTGCCCACAGTCATGGAGGTGGTGAGTAGCAGAGCCAGGGCTGGAATCTAGGGCATAAATCTGTGTCCTTGGCATTCAGCCATCCTGTCTCCTGACTCCTTCCTCTTGTCAGAATCACCTTCCCTTCCATATTCTGATCTCAGCTGAGCAAGAAGCAAATCACACGTCAAATGATGATGGGATGAGAGCATCTTGATTGTCGTACTTTTGACTTGATACTTGTACTTTCAAGTCAGAGGTGAATGGGAGAAGTAATGCTCTAAACCCAAGGAATCCAGTCTGGGCTGGGATTTCAGGCCTGGGTCAGGCACGGGCAGAAGAACCTCATGTACCACATGAGGACTGCCCTCAGCACAGGCTGAGGTGGCCTCTTTGGAAGCATTTGCCATGTTTCCCTCCAAACTCTTTACCAGATGCCGACATGCCAGAACCAGGAAGTAGAGCTACATACATCACAGGTATGTGTGAACCAGCTGGTCCCAAACTCAAATGTGACACCGAAGTATTGGAATCTCTGATGACAACACCAAATATAGAATCCAGAGAATTTCCAGACCACTGCTGAGTGACAGGTCCTTAACTTCCCCATGGCCCCTTAAGACTGTGCGTAAATGAGGGCCTTTGCACACCTCTCTGGACACCTGGGCTAAATATGAAGTCATGATCTGTGATTGGACTACTTTTAGAGAAAAGTCCTCTGTTGGGCCTGCCACCAGGCTATGCCTCTCAGCCCCATCACTTCATCCCTGGAAGTGGAGGGTAGACTGTATCCGGAAGAGGTTGCCATTTTTACTTCCAGTAACGTAAGGACCCTTGGTCTTCAGTCCATATTAGGTGTCCTGAGGAAGGAGCAGGAGACATTCACGATGTGTGCACACTGCTTCTGGTCCGGCCAGTATTCGTCAGAACCACAGACCCTGCTTTTAAACTCCCTTGAAAGATCCGGGAATAATTCTTGAGTGAATATATTTGTGCTGCAGATGATGGAGAACTTTGGACCAGATATAATTTTGAATCTCCCTCCCCACCACCATCTCCTTGACATCAAAGTCAACCTTGGGTTGTATTTAATAGCAGCAGTCCTTTTTATATTTGTAACTGTAATTCCCATCATTTGGAAAACTAAGAAACTTCTGGAATTTTAAAGGCCTGCTACCAGTCGCTCATCTTTTGCTCCTCTGGAGCGAGCCACCCTCTCCCTTCATCTTTGACATTTAACTACACACTGGGACCCTCATCCCAGGTGGTGTATTTAGTGCCATCCGTCTGTTCCAAGGAACTTGGTGCTTTTTCCCCTTCACAATTCAGCTGGCACAAAGCTGCAGTGCTCAGAAGTTTCCTTATAATTAAAGGGACACAGCCAGTTAGGATCACTACACCCAGAGTTTGACCTACTTCTTTTCTCACAGATGTTCACATAACACATGCAGAAAAGAACTCAATTTTCCTGCCAGCAAGTCCAAACCTTTCCACTGGTCTCTGGAAGTCTTGGCTGGATACCTGCCTCCAGTGATGGCTTGAAGAGCTGGAATCCTTGAGAAGAAATGGAACACTCCATGGGGCTGCTTGCGTGTCCAGGCCCTTAAATGCCCTTGCTGCTTTGTAGCAGGGCCTGCGTTGATGGGAATGTCTGTCTTGGTCACCCAGCTCCGCAACTTTTTGTGTTTAGCTTATCAAGTGGGGACCGTTTGTCAGTTGCATTTGCAATCTACCACGCTTTATGGCGTTTCCTCACCCAGACTTCTCCCTTGGTGACTTAATTACTTAAATGGCATATGTATCAATAAAAAAAATTACTGTCAGCCACATGGCATTCATCACACTCTGACTATAAAAAGCCAACCAGACTCAACAGGAGAGCCTTTCAGAAGGGAGAACGATTGATTCCTAGCTTCTGAGGATTGCACTTGCAAACTGGGAAGGATAATTATTGTTAAATGCTAAGGAATATTGTGTTATGGATGGGCTTAGAGTGTCCAAATGCCATTTTTAATAGGTCTGTTAAGGTGTTTGGTCTACAGAGATATTGAGAGGAGGAGGAGAAATCGCATCTGAAACCTTTTAACATTAAGCCTGTGTGAAACCATTATTTGCTCAGTTTATTTTCTCTTTTATGTGCACTTATTTAAGCAGGAGCTGGGTTTCTGGAGGGTAAGTGATTGTGGGGAGGGGCATCACTGTCGCTGCATGGTTTAGCTTATTTTTTGCAGGGTTGGGGGTCTAAAGGCAAATCTGTGAGAGAACGCAAAGGTTTGTTGACAGGAACCCGTGACTGTGTCTGTGTTGATTCCCTCCAGGCGGGGAGGAGCAGGTGTTTGAGAGTTCCCCGGTCCCGGATGAAAGGTCTGCCCTGTACTCTGGAGTGCACAAGAAGCCATTTTTCTTCGATGCCTCTCCTGAGAAACCTCCAGAAGATGATTCAGACTCTCTCACCACTTCTCCATCATCCAGCAGCCTGGACACTTGGGGGGCCGGCCGGAAGCTGGTCAAAACCTTCAGCAAAGGAGAGAGCCGGGGCCTGATCAAGCCCCCCAAGAAGATGGGGACGTTCTTCTCCTACCCAGAAGACGACAAGGCCCAGAAGGTGTCCCGCTCCCTCACCGAGGGGGAGATGAAGAAGGGTCTCGGGTCCCTGAGCCACGGGGTAAGTACCGATGGTGTTTGCTTCTACGACAGCCACCGTCGCCGGCACCACCTCCTAGTGTCCCTAGAGGAGGTTCAGAGCGTCCGGAAGCAGATCCGCTTGAAGAAAACGGATACTAATTATTCCTGTTCTAGAGCTTTCCTCTGCCAGCGTCCCTCTAGAAAAGGCATCAACAGCACCACCTGCGACCTGCAGCTGCTCCGGCAGAAACCCAAAGGGGGCGGGGTCAGTGGCGGCCCCGGCAGGAGGGTGCGCGGGCGCCCCTCCGTCAGCGAGTTCAATGTCACGTACGTGGTGGAGCGCAGCCTGTACAGCCACCTGAACCTGACCCAGCTAGTGCGTCCTGCCTCAGACAGGACCCTGAGCAAGGCCGAGAAGCAGGACCTGAGACGGTGCTTGCTGGAGGAGGAGGAGACCAGGAGGAAGTGGGCCGCCACGGTGGACCGCTGTACCAAAAGGGTTCTCTTGAGAATCCGCCAGAAGTCCGTGAGTCACAAAGACGGTCATGGGGACGGCCTTGTCATTTCTGTGATGTGCAGTCAAGCATTATGGCCTTTCTTGCATGCAGCCTGCCGTCCTCCCCGCTCTTCTCATGCTCTGTCCCTCCGTCACCTCCATTCCTACCCCCACTTTCCTTGAGGAATGGCTTCTCCCTCTTTCCCATTTGTCCTCTTGCCAGTTGAAGCTGTTTGAGTTTTAATTTAAAACTAAACATTGAAGCTGATCCAGAGAAGGGCTCTCAGGGTACAGGGGTGGGGTCTGGCCTCCTTCTAGAAGTGGCTGTCTTGAGTCGCAGCCATCATGTCACTTGGCCTCAAGGAAGCTGATTCAAAACAGAAGGAAGTTTTGCCCTTAAAAGAGATGTTTCTTCTCTCAGTGAGTTAAAACAGTAGGAACTAGCTCACGGTAGATTGCCGCCATCATCATCGCCAATTTGGTGATTCGAAAAAACACTGTAAGGTACTTTCTTTTATTACTAGGGGCAGACGGAAAGTTCTCAAATCTAAAAGGAAAGAAAAATTAGAGCTCTTTTGTTTTACTTAAGTATATTTGATGTGCTTATCTTTTTAAACAAAAGGATCAACGTTTGGAAATGTCCTCCACTGCCCCATAGATTATTCTGTACATAGCAAGGAATAAAGTACTTACTTTCAAATAATGAAATGGTCTTCAATTTTATTACTGAATTATTAGAGACCTAGTAAAATTTATTTTCAGGGCAAGACTTATATTGAACTGGAGAACATAGGGATTTCCCCCCTGAAATTCCCACCCAACTTTTAGTTTGCACAAGAGCCCATATAAAATGGCACAGGGTGTGGAGGAACTGTGCACTTCCTGGCCCCTGGCGCCCTGCTTAATCCACGTGGGTCTGCTGGCCTGTCCCCTTTGATAGGTCTGAAGGAGTAGACTGTACTGCCACCTCCCATGATGGCTTCTCCCAGAGTTCCTCCACATTTGTAACATGTTCTTGCCCAGACGGTTGCTGTAATTTAAATTCATTCAATCAAGTTCTGCTTTTGGGGTCAGTGCCCTCCTTAAAGGATGCTTAGGTCCTTACCAGCCCTTAGGTTTTCCAAATATTCCCATGTGTTGACTTTCTTGCTCGATCTCCACTTTTTTCACATTCTTATAAATCTTGCAGCACTTTTAATATTATCAGTTAACAGCTTTTCCTCTGGCTCTTTGTCATGGCAACAGCCTTGGTTGGTTTTGTTTTTGTTGTAAAATAACAGTTCTTTGTTATTATTTCTTGTTGTCACTCCTTCAGTTCTGACCCACAGATCTTTTGGGAAATACTTGTGGCTACAAGTCTTGGTATAATTTGTTTTTTACCTTCCGAGGTGTTCTGCCTAGTTCATCTGCCTCTGTACCTTTGGACATGACCTTGATAGAACAGATCCACCTCTTCTGTGTAAATTGATGACTCAGCCCCATGGGTTTAAATCATGCAATACTGAGAATTTTTCCGATTGAGTGCCTTGAGTTGCTCATGTATCCCTTATATTATTTATTGCCAGGTTAATGATATAACTTCATCAGGACCTTCTCTCTAGAAGTTATATTTCTAAGATTTGTGCCATTGTGGGCCCTTGTGTGCACATTGTGAGCCAGTGATTAAGTCTTCACTGACGTTTGAGTATGGACATTTGGACAAGCTTGTTTTCACGTACCAATTCCACCCCCTGTATAAGTGGCACTCTGTAGCCTCTATCCCCAGTACCAGCCTGAGGCTGGGTATTTTTAAAGTACTGTGAATTTGAGGCAGTACTGGACAGTTTTAATACTTGCTGAAATACGTGTTCAGTGCTAAATCAGAAATTTGTACATACCGTTTCTTGTAAGTATAATTGTACAATCAAGAAAACAAAATTTAATTTTCTAGTTATTCAGAGAACATAGGGGAATGTAAGTTCTTTTTCTTTTGGCCGCCCTGTGCAGCATGTTGGGATCTTAGTTCCCCGACCAGGGATCGAACCTGTGCCCCCTGCAGTGGAAGCTCGGCGTGTTAACCACCGGACCACCAGGGAGGTCCCAGAATATAAGTGTTTTAACAACAGAAGAGGGTTTTTTGTTTTTCTGGTTTTTTTTAAGGGATTAAAATAATTTCTTTACTTGGTTTACTTAAAAATTGTTTTCCTTTCTTCTTGTCATATATATCTTTCATTTTATTCAAAAGTATAGTTTCCTTTACTCTTCAACCTTGATCTTTTTGTCTTTCAAAAAATGCCATATTTGCTTGATGAAACCTCAGGGAAATGACAATGCTTTGTACTCACTGGAAACGGTCGCTTGTTTTGTTTTTTATTTGGTCATTCAATTTTTGTTTGGGGAAACAGACATGCATGACATTTTGGAATTTTGTCCATTAAAAAAAAAAAATCCAAACCCCCCCAAAACGTGTTTTCAGCTGCATGACCATTCCATTGACTGGTACTTCTCATCCACAAGCATCTATCTAAAATGTTCTTGTAATTATCCGTACAGGAGATGTTTGAACTTGAAAAACCTCATTTAAGCGCTATTCGTGTAGACCACCAAAGATTGGTTTACATTCTTTTACTATTCTCTCTTGTTTTCTCTGTTGAAAGAGTGCTGCTTCAAGAACTACCTGACATTACGGAAAAAGTTGGAGATTAGTTCAGGTGGTTCTGACGGTTATATTTTGTTCATCCTCCATTGATAAAGAAGAATCAGTTCCAAATATCTTAGCATGTCACTGGGAGAGGTTTTAGTTGGTAGTTAAGAAAACCAGTCTACTCTTTCCTCTAAACTTCTTATTTTAGGAGACGATGCATGCAGCAGTCATATGAAGACATAAATGAGCTTCTAATTTATTGCAGTTGTAGTTTCCACATAAATTCTTTGTCAGTTATTTCATATGCATCAGAAATAACATGCTGGGCTCCAGTGCTGCAGTCGGTGTTGGAATTCAAAGCAGGGAAGTACAAAAGCCGTAAAACGATGAGGCATCTGGACGCCATACTGTGTCTGTGGAGCCCTGAGTCACAGGAGAGGAACTAGAATAAAATGACTGCCTTTGCAAAAATGAGAAAATTTATTTGGCACTATAAGCTGCAAAGGGAAAGTTAAAGTTAAAAATTAGCCTTGAGAGATGGTCCTAACATTGCTTGCAGATTAGGGGATTTGGTGAGTGTTTTTGTTTGCAGAGGTCTTTCTCTTTTTATAGAGTAGATATAGGTCCAGTTAAGTTGACTGTAAGGGAAGTCAGATTGTCCATTGATATTTTTATATAAAATGAGAATGATGTCCATTGAAGGTTATGTCTGTGGTTGATTATTTAAAACAGCAGCAACAGCGTTGCTGAAGGAGAAGACCAGCTGTGTGATATCCTGAATGTCGGTTATCCTGAAATATAACACTTCTGTATCTCCTGGCCTTCTCCTCCTTCTCCTCCTTCTGCTACACCTGCTCTCTTTCACTTCTTGGCCCATTCCTGGGATTGCTCTGGTTTTACATTTGAAGCTCCCAGAATTATAAGGCCCAGAACTAAGCTCCAGTTCTTCATTTGCATATTTAGAATGTTGACTAAGCCTAAACTTCAATATAACAATTGTCAGGACAAGCTACCAAATTCTCAGTGTGGCCCTAATGAAAAGTAATGGAAGAAACCAACATTCCTAGAGTGTCTGCTTTGTGCCAGGCAGTGTGCTAGAAGTCTCAAATATAGGCTATAGATAGTATGTTACTAATGAAGAAACCAAAGCTCAGAGAGTTCAGTACTCTACCTGTGGTCACACAGCAAGTTAAGTGGTAGAACCAGGATTTGGGTCCCTGTCTGTGTGATTCCAAAAACCTAGGCACTTTCCTTCCTGGATGTTTCTACTTTCTCAGTTCAATTAATATGTATCTAAGGTGTATTTATTTTAAAAAAGCAATGTTTATAGTATATGTTGTGCTTTTCTGTTCATTTCTTCCTTTTAATAGCTGTTAACTAGAGTTCTCTGAGAAACGGGTAATACAAATATTGGCACCCAGATCTGTGATTCACATTTTAGTACCAATTGCTTAAGAAGATAATCGGTGATAACAAAAATTAATGTGCTTTGAATTTCTCCTTTTTCTTAAAGATTTGGGGGTTGGCGGGGAGAGGTGGTGCTTGAGTAGCTTTTGCTAGAAAAACAGCAGAGAATTCAAACCAAGTTCTGGAAATATAAAAGCACTGAAACATAAGCAGTCCATAAAGTTTGAAACGAACCGAAAGGACAGTGAAGTTTTCATTCTATCAGTGTTTTTCCTATTGAAATTAAAGTAGTGTGGTCAGAGACAGTCACGGAATCAATCTTTTTCTTTCTGGGCAAATGTGGTGTCTTTATTTCATACACTCTGAGGAAAGGGTCATAAGTAATTAAGTTGGGCAGTCAGATGGGAGAGTTATCAGCATTTTTGGCTAGGTCAGGGAAGCAATGAGTGAGTAATCCTCTTGGCCTGATTGGACTCTACTATAAACATAACCTTTTTCCCTCCATCTCAGCGATTTAAAACTAAACAAAACAAGAGTCCCTCAGAAAAGCCTGCTGTCAGTGGCAGGGCTATAGGACTTCACATCTGGGTTTCCAAGACCACTCTGAGCACATGGGTTCCCTAATACATGTTCCCTCATTATCACTACTGTATGCAGCCGATATTAAGGGGTCTGGAAGGGAAATTTTGTTGCTAAGAGACAAGGAATCTTAGAGCACTTAACACATGTATGGTTTTTTGGTTGGTGTATTTTTTTTTTTTTTTTTACCAGTTGGTTTTTGCCCGTGAAGGGGATTCTGAACCTCTGGTGTAGGCACAGTTCCAGTGGCCTGTGGAAGGGCAGAATGAGTGGCGTCTCCTTATAACATGAATCATGTATTTTTTTTCTTCATCATTTCTCGTCTCTTACTCATCCTGTAACACGTCTGTGGTTCAGTGACATCCTACAAAGGGGACGTGTGTTGGGTTGGCACTACTGGATGGTCTTAGCATAACTGGATTGTTAGTGCTCTGCCCTCTCCTTTCCACAGAGAACCTGCAGTTTTGGAGGATTTGACTTGACAAATCGTTCTCTGCACATTGGCAGTAATAATTCTGACCCATTGGTGAGTATACATCAGAGGGGAAGCAAAAGATTTGGATTCAAGTGATGTGGTTGACACAGTTTCACATTGAGTATCTTTGAGAATCGGTACTGGGTGACCTTTTCCTCGGGATCCTAAATCGCATTTGGAGAGAAGCTCTATTTCCCCATCTTAAAGACTCTTCACAGTCCCACATGGACTGAATGATGACCACCTGTGGCCTCCATCTCTCTCTTTGCGGAAGCATCATGTCTTTAATACCCTGGTTTCCAGGTTTCTTCAAGTCACACGTCCAGATGAGTTTAGAAGGTCTCAGTCATTGGTGCACGTGTGCTTTTTGCTCATACTAGTTGCAAGTGCACGTGACTGTGACACGTAGGTAGGGCCACAGCGTGGAGCCCTGTGACTTGGCTTCCAAGAGTACGTGGCAGCATTTCTGAAAGCCAGGCTTGTCATAGGCCAAGTGCATAGCCCTACACCAAGCGTAGGTCTTTCTGATCTGGGGTATCCCGAAATGAACCCAGTCCCCTTTGGGGCCAAAGCAAGCCAGACTCCTCAGGGCCAAGGTGACCGCCTGCTCAGACCTGCCACTGGATCACAGTCCGGGGACAGGCCACCTTTACAGTGTACAGGTTCTCCCTAAGGTTTACTTTCTGAGGTCCCAGAGCTGTAGGTGAGTTTTCCATACAGTTTTGTTTTCCCCTTGTGCAGCTGGTCACGCAACTGCGAAATGAGGATTCTGTGCTGTATAGTTGTTACGGCCATGTGTTAGCGAAAGCACCCATCTATGCTTTTTTGAAGTGTTTGAGAATTTCCTGGAAGAATAAAACTATTTTATTTGGATATCAAATTTTATTGACTTATAAACCAATAATTTTATGTGGTCAGTCTTTTAAAAAGTATGATTTTTTTCCCCTCAGGGGAATGCTTTGTTTTGTTTTTTAATGCAAAATAGAATGAAAGGAGACCACAATCTAACTTGTTCAGAAAAGAAAATTTACACAGTCTTAGGAGTTGGCCACACGAAGTGCTACAATGATATAAATCTGATCGGATGCTGGACTTTTTTTTTTTTTTTTTGGCTGCGTTGGGTCTTCATTGCTGCTCATGGGCTTTCTCTAGTTGCGGAGAGCGGGGCTACTCTTCATTGCAGTGGGTGGGCTTCTCATTGTAGTGCCTTCTCTTGTTGCGGAGCATGGGCTCTAGGCGCACAGTCTTCAGTAGCTGCAGCACACGGGCTCCATAGTTGCGGCACATGGGCCCTAGAGCGCGTGCAGGCTTCAGTAGTTGTGGTGCATGGACTCAATAGTTATGGCTTGCGGGCTCTAGGGTGCATGGGCTTCAGTAGTTGTGGCATGCGGGCTCAGTAGTTGTGGCTCATGGGCTCCAGAGCGCAGGCTCAGTAGTTATGGCTCATGAGCTTAGTTGCTCCCCAGCATGTGGGATCTTCCCAGACCAGGGATCGAACCTGTGTCCCCTGCGTTGGCAGGTGGATTCTTAACCTCTGCACCATCAGGGAAGTTCCCAGATGCTGGACTTCTAATCACTGAGATCTGCCATTTTGTTCTTACCACTTTCTTGGGTGATTCAGTAGTAGTACCCTTTACTTCTTCCCCACTGCTGGGATTAAGTGAACATTGGTTCATCGAAATCATTCTTTATTGATAAGATACAGTCCCCTTGGGTATTTAAAATGGTGGGAAAACATGTACCAGGAGAAGAATATACTAAGTTTAAATAAAACAAAGTGACTCACATCCCACTTTAAGCAAACAAATAAGCAAAAGTCACTTAGTCAATAGCTTTTAATTTTTAATCAAAAAGATAAATAACATAGCACTGAGTTAACGTAAGAAAAATGTGGAGATCCTGGAGCATGCCAATGTTTTGCTGAGAGGTAGGACATTCATGGTTTGAATAATAAAACCTGTTTGTGGGCTTCATTTTCTGTGATTAAGATACTTATAACATTTTATTTTGCAGGGTAAAGAAGGAGATTTTGTGTATAAAGAAGTAATCAAATCACCTACCGCCTCTCGAATCTCTCTTGGAAAAAAGGTGAAATCAGTGAAAGAGACAATGAGGAAGAGAATGTCTAAAAAATACAGCAGCTCTGTCTCTGAGCAGGTATGTGACAGCTGAGCGAAAAGCCCCCTTGGTTCTTCCCAACAACAAGAAAAGCTGAGGATTGTTGGTCTGAGATTTTAAATGGTGCTAAATATATTCACAGGCATTAACCAGGCTCCAGGACCATGCTTGGTTTATGTAGACAAACATTGGATTCAGCAAATATTTGTTAAGCGCTTAGGGTCACCCGAGCACCAGGTTTGGTGCTGGGAATACAAAGCAGGCCCTGACTTCTATGTACAGATGAGAGAAAAAGACAAACATGTAAAGAAATGATTATTCGTTAATGCAATAAGCACTAAAAATTAGAACACAAAGGAAGGATTTTATTTTCTAAAATATTCCTTGCTCCACAATGGCCATCACCAGAATCAAACCTTAAAAAGACAGTCAAGTTTTCTTAGCCGACTTTTCAAATAAATGTAGCATAAGTTGTTCTTAGGAGCGTGTAGCAAGTCTGAGAAGTAAAGTCAGAAAGTGCTTCCTGGCTGCAAGACTTACACAGTAATCGTGTTTCTGCAGGGGTGTGTTCACTAACCATCCCTATCTGCAGACTTTAAGACATCACAGAATTGACACCACTCCCTTCCCCAATTCTATAAGTTCATCTCTAGGAACATAACCTTCTTTTTATGGGTCTTCTTTTTATGGGTGGAGGGAATAAAGACACTTGGAAGGCTGGGCCTGAGATAATTTTGACCATTCGATTTTCAAAACGCTCTCCTCTGGCACCTTAATAGTATGGATTCTGTAGTCTGTTGAAGTCTCCGTTTGTGAACTGTTTGTCTACTTAAGAAATATGTAGGTAATGCTGCTTTATCTACCAAATAGAACAGCAGGGAAAGCAGGCATTTTTGCTCAGCTGCTGCCCTCTGGTGGACATGGTGAGCTAAAAACCAAGCATCCCCCTGTTTGAACCAGCTAGCCAGCCTCCCGCGCTGTGCTTCAAACAAAACCTGCACATCTTCAGCTTATTACAGTGGTTCTCGTGGGGTATTGGGGGTGTGTTGGGGGGTGTTGATTTTGCTCCCTCACCAACCCCAGGGGCATTGGCTAGGGGCATTTTTAATAGAGGCAGTGGGTTAGAGTGGGGTGGTGTTGGGTGCTACTGGCATCTAGAGGATAGAGGTCAGGGATGCATCTTACGATGTGCAGGACAGTCCATGGAAACAAAGAATTAACCATGCAAAACGATGAGAGTGCTCAGATTGAGAAACTGGCCGGTCAGACCTGCAGGGGAAGTCTGGCTGCCTCCAGTATCTCTTCTCCACGAACATTTTCCTTAATCTTTTCGTCTCTTGTCCCTATGGGTATGGGAGTGATGGTGATTCTATATTTCTGCCCAGCCATGAAGCGAGCTGTGCACGCTCGAGTGAGACAGACTTTATGCCAGTGAAAGCGGTGCCACGAATTAAAGCGCTTTATTTAGTTGGCTTTTCCCCCAAATTGAAACATCGACTAAAAGCTCCTATAAACTTACATTCCTAGGGGTCTCCTGCTTCGTGAGTCATGAGCATAGAACTTTCCTGTCATTTTGAGCATTTTTCTATAATTTTACTACTATATTGATGTCTTTTAGTTTTAGTTCTGTTTTTTTTTTTAAAGCGGTCATTTCACATAATCAAAAAAAGAAGGAATCATTATAATGCTTTTTAGAGAGAGGAAATTAACATTGTAAGGCTTTAAAAAAAAAACTTTTGAGCAAAGACACCGACTGTTTTAGTAAGGATTTTTATCTGCTCTGTTCCTGCTCTATGCCCAGCCTCTGAAATAGTACCTCTTCTTGTAATCAATAAATATGTGATGAATAAATTAATAATTTTTAAAAAGCACTTGTGAACATACAGTATCAGAGGTGTGTATTTGGTATTGCTGTTTTTCAGACTGGGAGGTTTTTTCCAGAAGCATTTTAAAAAGATTTTAATTGGAAAGGTGGCTTATTTTATGATTCAGAAAAGAGGAATGAAAACCTCAGGAATTCATCCTTTGCAGCTTCAGTAACCTCCTAACGATGCACCCTCTGTTTGTAGTTGTTGCGGTTGTTTGCTCGCTTTCCTTAAATGTAAAGCAGAAGTGTGTTTTGGATCAGAAGCTGCCCTTTCTATTGTCCTTAAATGTTTGCAGGGCCCCGCAGATCTCATCAAAGCCTTTCTGATGATTCGGCATTATGCAAATAACAGGTTGCCGTTAGGTGGTTTTGTGTTCACGTGCCTGTGTAATAATATGCCAGAAAGTGTTCTCTTTGGGCCAGTAAACCGTTCTGACTGCAGACGTTTTAAAGTGTGATACTGTCTTATCTATTAGCACCTCAAATCAAATGAGCATGCTATAGTTACATGTGCAGATAGGGGGCTGTCCACCCCAAAAGTGAGAAGTACTGCTGAGTCACTACTGTCAGTATCTGATCTAAAAGGGACTTCCCAGCTGTTTATTAACAACAGAAGAAGAAATGAAAGAAGCTAAAATCGTAGGGTGACTTAAGGAAATTGTATTATAGACAGAAAAATGGTATGTTTGCTGTACAGCTGACCCTTGAACAACACAGGTTTTGAACTGCATAGGTCCACTCATAGGTGGATTTTTTCAATAGTAAACGCTACAGTACTACACGATCTGTGGTTGTCTGAATCCACAGATGCAGAGCCGCAGATAAGGAGGGCCAACTGCAAAGCTGGTAGGCACCCCAACCCCTGTGTTGTTCAAGGGTCAACTGTATATCTGGGTCCTAAGTTGGTATTTTATTAGCCAATTTTAGTAATTTGTGTAAACAGAAATATAAGAATCTGTGCTTTGTGTGCGTGTGTGGGGTGTGTGTGTGTGTGTGTGTGTGTGTGTAAATGTTTCCCTTCAAATAGATTAAATATTCTATGATGATACTTCCGGATACTACATTACTAGTGGGTTGTATCTGATCTACATTTGAAGTCCAGCGTTATTACTGAACGAGGGAGTATACTAAGAGTCTCTAAGCCTTTAACAAAATGTTTTGTCTACAAGGTAGATAGATTCTTTTCAAAAATATCTATTTGAGTATGAAAAATACTTTTTGAGTGTTTAATTAATAGTTACATGAACCACAACTTTAAAATGAAGCAATGATTTAGATGAAAAAGGAAGGTACATTTTGGGTAAAGAATCAGACTTGGGTATAAAGATGGATTTGACTGATGTCGTTGAGGGCTAAACTGCTGTGAATTACAAAAGGACGCCCATCCACTCTGGTGAAACATAATTTTGTCAAAACCCATTTCAGGATTCAGGCCTTGATGGAATGCCGGGCTCCCCTCCGTCCTCTCAGCCTGACAGCGAACACATGGACAAGCCCAAGCTCAAAGCCGGAGGTTCTGTGGAGAGTCTGCGGAGTTCTCTGAGCGGTCAAAGCTCAATGAGTAGGTCTAGTTTGCAAATGTAGATGATTTCCTCGGAGTCAAAATCAGACTTTTACTGAGTGTCAGGTTCAGGCAGTTTAAAGATAAATTAGACCAAGTTCTTACCCTTAAGGTGCTGTTACAGAGACAGACCTGCAAAATAGCTGGCCCTAGAGTCCTATTTGTTTAGTAGTTGATGTCTAGCAGGGCCACAAAATTGAGGGTAATGATTTGGGTTGGAGGAGAGAGGGGAAGCACGCCAGCAGAAGATCTGGAGACTCGGGGGGAGTAGGTCAAGGGGAAGGGCTCATGAAGATGTGCAGCAAACTGAGAGGAGAGGACTAGGGCCCTGCTGCGCACACGTTGCTCTCCTGACCTCTGGGCACATCCTCCAGCTACAGTAGTAATTAGCGATCCTCTGACCACTTTTTTGTCTTACGGATTTTGGTAAAAATCTCTCATCTGTGCATTGCCCCCTGCCATTTTCCTTGTCATAGTGAATCCAATTCCTTTGTTAGCATTTTAGTGGGGGTTTAATAAAAGAGAAGACAGATGCTTCTCTTCATTCTCCAATCCTTAATCAGAAACATTTTATGCAGAATTCAACACAATAATGTAATGTTATTTTTCCCTGATGCATTTCGGGTAGTGGGGAGTGCCAATAATGCTCTTCTGGCTTGACAAAGAAAGCTAATGTCTTCCTAACTTTCATGAATACAAAATGTCGATTAAAACATTATTATCAGGGCAATAAAATAATCAACTAAGAAACAGGGAAAAAAATAAGAAGAGGAGAAGAGAATGACAGATGTCCCTGAAACAAATGCTGTGCAACCACTCCCGGTCCAATGGTGGTGCCTGCCGAATGCTATGGGGGAAGAGACCAAGTTTAAACTCGCTACTTCAAAAGCATTTGGCCTTGAGCAAGTGACGTTTCCTCATCTGTAAAAGGGGGTAAAAATAGTATGCCTGACAAATGAGAGGTTATGAATGTTAAGGGTGGTGTCCTCTATCAGGGAGCCTCGGTGTCACCTGGATTCCTGGTCATAAAGATAACCTGATGAAGGCCCCTGTCTGATTGGGGCTTGATTAGGGAGAACAGTCAGAAAACTCAGATCCTCCCCTGGACTCTGCTCTGGTCCTGACATTTGGCTGTGTCTCGGGACTCCCTCCTCTGGCGCTTACCTTCCTAGCCTGTGATGCCTTCAGTGCCTTCTTTTTTTTTTAAAACAAATTTATTTATTTATTTATTTTTGGCTATGTTGGGTCTTCGTTGCTGCACGCGGGCTTTCTCTAGTAGCGGCGAGCGGGGGCTACTCTTCGTTGCGGTGCACGGGCTTCTCATTGCGGTGGCTTCTCTTGTTGCGGAGCACGGGCTCTAGGCACGCGGGCTTCAGTAGTTGTGGCACACGGGCACAGTAGTTAGGGCTCGCGGACTCTAGAACGCAGGCTCAGTAGTTGTGGCGCACGGGCTTAGTTGCTCCACAGCATGTGGCATCTTCCCAGACCAGGGCTCGAACCCGTGTCCCTTGCATTGGCAGGCGGATTCTTAACCACTGCGCCACCAGGGAAGCCCCCTTCAGTGCCTTCAGCTTTGCTGTGCAGGAAATCTGTATTGACCCATGTTCTGCCTGTTTTCCTGTACAGGTGGTCAAACAGTGAGCACCACCGATTCCTCGACCAGCAACAGGGAGAGTGTTAAGTCGGAAGACGGTGATGACGAGGAGCCCCCATACCGGGGCCCATTCTGTGGGCGCGCCAGGGTGCACACCGACTTCACGCCCAGCCCCTATGACACAGACTCACTCAAGCTCAAGGTGTGTGTCTGCCTGGCCTTGGAGCAGTAACACGGGGTGCCTTGTTGCCATAGGAGGTGTTCTCTTCTCCTTGCTGTTAAATGCTGGGCTGTTGTGGTGCAGACTGGCCAGTGTCTCTGCTACCTTGATAAGCCGGTCTCGACCTCTGTAGTGGAAAATGAAACAGAGAACCAGCCGGCATTTGGAGGAGGGTCTTGTGTTAATCCTCTTTTGTCACCACCTCATCCCTCTGGCCCTGTCCTCTGACCTCAGCTTCCCTCCAGAATTCCTGTTGCCCTCCACCCTCCAGTCTCTGTGCTTTCACCAACTGAAGAGATATAACTGGCTTCTCTCTGTCGTCAGTGACATTCATATGGGACAGATGGGGTTCCATGAAATGTATGAAGCGATTACAGGACAGCAGTTGCCACTGACATCTGATTGGTGGGAATTCTTTTTCTAAAAAGTAGGTGCTCTCTGGGTAAGGGCAGGGCGTTTAGAGAGCCAGGTGCCCACCCAGCCCTGAGCCCTGGTGGACGGACACCTCGGGCCACTGTCTTGCGGTGCAGGAGGCCAGAGGGGATGGGCCCTTGGGCCTCCATGAGATCTGGCACGGTCAGGAGTGCCCTGTCCGGTATCTGCCGGACTCCCAATCGTAGCGGGTGACTCGTGGAACGCTGATTCTGGTCTTCCTAGTGTCTTCACATGCGTGTGATTCACGCCTCTGATTGACAGATGGTTCATGCTTGGAAATGTACCTAACGGAAAGATCTTTGTTCCCTGGGCGACAGAAAGGAGACATCATTGACATAATCAGCAAACCCCCCATGGGCACCTGGATGGGCCTGCTGAACAACAAGGTGGGCACATTCAAATTCATCTACGTGGACGTGCTCAACGAGGAAGAGGAGAAGCCCAAGCGCCCCACCAGGAGGAGGAGGAAAGGAAGACCCCCCCAGCCCAAGTCGGTGGAGGATCTCCTGGATCGCATCAACCTCAAAGTTAGTTCCGTCCTGTCCTGGCCCCGCATCTGCTATGACGAGTACCCATTATCCTACAGAAATAGTTACCAGCACCATGACTCTGCCCTTGACCTCCGCTGGGGGTGATAGCATAAATCCAGGTCGCAATGAGCTCCTAGTCCAAAGAGCTGTGAGCTTCAAGCCACTACCAGGAAGGGCTGTAAGCACAAACTCCTGGCGCCCTGGTTGGCTTCTCAGAGGCCGTAAGGATTCTCCCCTCCACCCTCTCTCCCCCCATTACTCCCGGCATCTAGCGGGGCGGGGGGGGGGTCTACGTGGTAGATTCTATTTCCTCCTTGCACAACTGTCTTGGTATTGGGGAGGTCACAGGTCTCTGTGAGCTGGATTTCAGCAGCTCTAAATGAAAGAAGAATCTCCTCTGCTGCACACTGGGTGGCATTACAGGCTTCAGCTCACAGCAAGGGCACAATTAAAATGCAAGCCAGTGGAGTCATCTCAGCCTGCAGTGTAAATCTTCCTAACCCCTGATGGATGAAGTGCCCCGCCTGCGCACTAAGCTGTAGGACTGGGAGGTCCAGACTGTGCTACAAAGGATACTTACTAATGTTTGAATTAGCATAAAAATGACTATGGAAAAAGAGTTTAGGGGTTTGAGGCCGGTCATCGGTCGTGGATCACATGGCTGGGCTGCTGACTCACTTCTGTCTTGTTTCCCTCCAGGAGCACATGCCCACTTTCCTGTTCAATGGATATGAAGACTTGGACACCTTTAAGCTCCTGGAGGAGGAAGATTTGGACGAGTTAAATATCCGGGACCCAGAGCACAGAGCTGTTCTCTTGACAGCCGTGGAGCTGTTACAGGAATATGACAGTAAGTCCTTCCCAGCACAGACGTGTTCACTGTTAGATCCGCCACATTCTCAGGTCACCAGCAGGCGTCCCATAAGCTGCGAGCATATGCTTGGGTCCTTGGAGTCACTCATTCGATCCTACTGTTTCCAAAGCCAAGGTCAATTTTGTATTCTGTCAAATAGCACAAAGACATAGATTCCCAAAGCAGACCTTCCTGCCAATGCAGGAGCAAAAGAAAACCTTACTAGCCTATACTTTCCTGACATGTTTCTAGGTAATCGTTGAGGAAGACGCTCCTCTGAGGGACTGAGAATTGAATTGCAGTATTTTTAAGACACACAGTTCATGCCACCTTGGGGGCTGGTGGGATGTGCAGCCTTCAGGAGGTCATTAGGATACCTGGGCACAAGAGTAACTGACAAACTGGGAGTATCTTGCCCCACCAAGGGTTAATTACTTCTCAAAGCACATGAGGAGTTGTTTTCTGAATGAATAGGTTAATTAATGAATAAATGAAATTCATCAGCTTGCGTTAAAGAAGCAGGAAATAATCTCAAGTGAATATGTAGGGCAGAGAATTCCATGCTGCGATTTCTCAGCTAAAATGATAGCTCATTTTTACAACCCATGAAGAGAATTTAGTGAGCTCACAGCTTTCCTGTAGTTATTTGAATACACTGTGTCCTTTGCTCCATTAACCCGGTCTTATCTTGCTCTTTATTCTTCAATCTGACATCAGAAATATTCCTGAAATTATTCATCACAAAGTGGAGAGTATCCTTGCCAGTTACTGAATTCAAATGCATTTTCTTTCAAATGCTCTGCTTCAGGGATATCAGTAGCTAATAGCATTTCCATTGCTAAAAGACACACCAAAATCATGGTGAATGGTGGGAAAAAAAATTGTACATTACTGAATGTATCAGGCCCAAGAGACATGGAAGCAAGTGTCTCAGTGCAGTTAAATTCACTTCTGCTTAATAAGTCCTCCCTCTAAATTAACTGATGACACACCATCAGATAGATGTCTAAACCCTAGATAAACACACTGCCTTCAGGGATAGATTTGGAGGGAATTGTGTTTCAGAGTTAATATCACTTTATAACCTGGTCTCTTTAGTATTGGAGTTCCCCAGGAGACACCTTGGGGATCTGTGGCCAGGTTGTGTCAGAGCCTGGCCCAGTGCCTGGAATGGCCGACCAGCTATATGAATATCAATTAACGTTCAATCATCTAGTCTCCTGGACCACATCTGCTCGGTAAGATAGCTCATTTGCTCTTCCTCAGCCACTGAGAACAGCTGGTTTATAAACCCCATCCATTGTGTTTCCTTTAGCATTTAGACACAGGAGGAGCAAAGCTAAATTCTGAGCATAAGGTGCAGGGTCTGTCTCTGTCATGCTGCAAGGGCTAAGACTCCTTGTCCCTCCTGGGATCATGTCCTGAGGTGTGCACTTGGGCATATTTTATAGGAGGAATCTTTGCCCCTCATCATGCTCACTCACAAGTCTAAGGAAGGCTCTTTGCCTCTTCGTAAATCCTACTCTGAATCTGTGCTGTGCCACTGTATAGAACATCCCGCATACATAAATTGGTACTTCTTTTTAGTGGTTCTAAAACAAAGGCTTCAAGGGCTCAGGGGTGCCAGTGAGCACCAAGTGCCTGGATGCAGGATTACCCTAGGATTAGAAGATGCTACATTCGGCGCTTTTAAATTCATTGTGGTTAGGAAGTACTCTAAGTAACTGATACCTTAGAGGAACACAATACATTTCTGTCAGACTAGACAGATCCAGAGACCTGCTGAGACCTGAGAGATCTTTGCACATCTTCCAACTCAGCCCCCCACAAGAGCAAGAGGCACATCTGCATCATGGCTTGGCACTCAGATGGGTCCAGCTTCTCTCATTGCATCTGTGCGCGGGGAATGCCAGCCTTCCTGCGGGGTTCCATTTGGAAAAGACTCTCGTTGTCCCGGGGCAGTTCCTTCTACTGATCCCAGACCCACGCTCCTAGGTCTGCCAGATGAAAGCTCTCGTTTAACAAAATCATTTTCATAAGAATAAGAATTTTAATCAGGGATTATTTCAAATATGCAGGAAAGTACAGAGAAAAATAAAACAAATCCACATACCATTTTGTCATATTTACTTCAGTGCTTATTTTTTAAAGACATAAGTGTTGCAAGCCCATTGGAAGGCCTGCTATCCAAGAATCCCATTCCTTTCCCTTCTTTTCCAAGGTAACTTACACTCCAGAAAATGGCACATATCCGTGCGCATAAGCACCTTTTGATGTTGGGATGTCTCATCAGTGTCTTAGCATATATTCTTCTCCGTGTGTGTGTGTGTGTGTGTGTGTGTGTGTGTGTGTGTGTGTGTGTTGAGATGGGGTTGGGGAGACCTTCAGTCCAAATTCAGGTCATGTCCAAATGGAGTTTCAGCCCCACAACCCAGTCCTTCGCTCTCACTTGACTGTGAGAATGTCCGTGATTCCAGCTCCCCTTCTTTCTTGTCCTTGGTGCCTTGGCGTTAATTCTAGTGAGTCTGGGGTGCGGGGAGGATGTGGCCTTGAGTGTGCAGTACATCTAAGAGATGCCCCGCCTCTTCATTCTCCCTAATGAAGAAGGACAACCTACTGGGGAAACACTAGCTTTTAGTTTTAGGGAATTTTGCTCGATTTGTTGGGTTCCTGCAAGTAGCTGCTGATTGGATCCTCCAGGAGGAAGGTGGCTCTAGCCCCTTGAACAGGCCTCATGATTTTATGGATTGAACTGCGGTTTTCAGGCAATGCAAGGGACCCCTTCACTCCCCATAATAACTTCAGGTATCCTGCTGTGTGTGAGGCTGGCATCCCGAAAGATGCAGGCACAGTCTGCATTTTCCTGCAGACTGTTTTATTCCCGTCGGTCAGCACTTTGGAGTCTGTTTGCCCGCTGCAATACACTGAACTATCTCGCCAAGGACGAACTGCATTGATTCCTCTTCCTGGGTTGTAATTGATAGCTCCAAGCCCTCATTTTATAAGTATCATTTTCCAAAATAACATGCTAGGCTAGAACAAAGGCCATTCCAAATCCACAGACTCCTCCACACAATGAGGACACCACTCTAGAATGTTCCACTTTCGGTGTGGGGGAGGGGAAAGGGTTTTTTCTCTTTTGCTTCCAATTAGTTAATTTTTCATTAATCACTTTAAAAATAGCATTTCTTAATTTGGTGCTCTAATTTAAGGGCTTGTTCCGCCATGATTTCTGTTATAAAATGCTTTCCATGTGAGAAATACAAACAGGAAGTGGTCAGTGGACAGTAGGAATGGCAGCCCTCAGCCTTCCCACAATTTTTTTTTAATGACCCAAGAAAAGGCATCAGATTTCTGGTTTATTGATTTAGAGTGTGTGTGTGTGAGGAGGGGGGGAGGCGAAGTGAAGAGAAAGAAAAGTAAATTAAAGCCATTCATTGTCAACTTATTTTAGGTAGAAAATGTTTTCTTGGTTTCCATTTTTATCGACCAAGCATCTAGTCTGCATAATGATTGAAAGACAGTCTTCCTGTAACTTTGAACCTACATAAGGCCAGGCATGCCCTCTTTATAGAATGTGCAGACTGTGGTTGCTCTCCCCCCACTTTTGACATGATGCTCTGAATTTCTCCTCTCCCTGGTTGGCCTGAGGGTAACTTAAAAGGCATTGATGTATTTCAACTATTGTCCTCTGTCTACAAACTTACCTTCCTGTGATACATGATTTGAAAAGAAAAGTGTTCTGATCTCACTCGTTCATTTTTATCTCATTTACTTTAAAATAATTTGTCCTCTTCCAAAGTCCAAGGCTTCAAAATGTATTGTGAGAACCGAGGATGGAACTGGGATGCCGTTGATTTGGAGCCTGCTTTTCCGTCTTCTTACGATCCCATGCTATGTGTTCACCTTCTTTAGGTAACAGCGACCAGTCCGGATCCCAGGAGAAGCTGCTTGTTGACAGCCAGGGCTTGAGTGGATGCTCTCCACGAGACTCGGGATGCTATGAAAGCAGCGAGAACTTGGAAAACGGTACTGTCAGCACCAATGATCGTGAATGCATCTTCATACGCAAGCCTACTGGGCCGTTTCTTGACATCTGTGCTTTGGCTAATGACTGTCTTTCTTCCTCAGCCTGAGCCATTCATTGCTTTTGGGAAAACTGGCAACAGGGAGAGGAGTTTTCCCGGGGTGAATGGTGCTTAATTAAGATCCTTAGGAGGGAGGAACATCTCTCAGGAACCTAGGCCACTGATGATGTTGAGAAATGAGTAGAGAGGTCTTTCATCAGTTACTCTTCCATCCCACATAGCACATAATTGGAAAGAGTTTAAACTTGTGTGTCAGAGAAAGGGACCCTAAACTTTCCATTGTTCTGCTGCTCTTAGAGGTTTAGGCCCCTCCCCCCATCTGGATCATGCAAAGAGCTGTGGGGCTTTAGAGTGGGGAGACCTGGTGTTTGAACGTGAATAGGGCATAGCTGAAGACTTTGGCCAAATTACATCTCCGACTCCTCCTTACCTCTTTTTTTGTTTTTTAAACAAATTGATTTACTTATTTGTTTTTGGCTGCGTTGACCCTTCGTTGCTGCGCGCGGGCTTTCTCTACTTGCGGGTGGGGGCTCCTCTTGTTGCGGACCACGGGCTCTAGGCACGCGGGCTTCAGTAGTTTTGGCACACGGGCTCAGTAGTTGTGGCTCGCAGGCTCTAGAGTGCAGGCTCAGTAGTTGTGGCACACGGGCTCAGTAGCTGTGGCTCGTGGGCTCTAGAGCGCAGGCTCAGTAGTTGTGGCGCACGGGCTTAGTTGCTCCGCGGCATGTGGGATCTTCCCGGACCAGGGATCGAACCCGTGTCCCCTGCATTGGCAGGCGGATTCTTAACTACTGTGCCACCAGGGGAGTCCTCCTCCTTACTTCTTAAATGGTAATGTGAGTTGTTGTTTTTTTTTATAGATTATTCTAAGACAAAGTAATAATATATTAAAAATACCTAGCACTTTGTAAACACTGATTATGAATGAGGCAGTGGGCTAGGTGCGCACGTATGCAATTGCTAATTATCACTCAGACCCTGCAGTGCATATTTTGTAGATGAGGATGCTAAAGAGACATTAAATAATAACGGAAGCCCTTGTTCTTTTCCTCTTGGCACCACTCTGACTCATAATAATAGGCTCTCAGTCAATGGTAGACAGTATTTTAGACCTGACTTGCCAATGCCATAAGCATTTTCAAGTCCATACTCTTAATTACTTAATGTCGTCATACATCAGCCAGGGGTATCGGGGCTTCGTTGAACTTCAAGCCAGAAGGGATTTAGTTTGTATGTTATCATAAGTACTTTCACAAACCATGGATTAGATGAAAATAGGTGGACCTATTTTGGGAACAAGGCAAAAGGCAACATATACCATAAAAGGTCTCTTTGCCTATTTGATTTTGCTTATTTATTCTGAAGAGCAAGAAAATCCCAGTGCTCGGGACCGTCATCCGTGAGTCTCTCATTTCAGTGGGAGGATTTTGAGGAGCCCCGCTGAGAACACGATGCAAAGCCAGGGCAGGAAGGTTTGGTTCCTTCAGTATCATCATCATCCCTCACCTCAAGTTTTCTTCTTAAATAGACAGTAAAGCCTGAGCAGGGGCTGCCCTCGGTGTTCGGACACTGCCCTGGGAAAACAGGCGTGCTCGTTAGTTCAGGGATCGCAGTTGCACGATGACTCCTTCCATAAACAGATAGATTGGGATTGACATGTATACAGTAATATGTATACAGTGGATAACTAATAAGAACCTGCTGTATAAAAAAGAAATAAAATTCTAAAATTCAAAAAAACCCCCACAAAAAACAGATAGATCCTGGCAGCAGTATTATCATTACAGTATGAAAATATCTATATTCATATTAAAATAATGTGAAAAGTCTATTCAAACATTTCTTCATTTTTATGAAAGCCAGATCTCTGAATGAAGGGTATATAATTAAATCTTAAAGAGCACATTTTTGTTTTTAAAAAAAAATCTCAAAACTTCAGACCAGCTAGACAGAAAGAATATAATTACCCACATCCAATATGGTACTTCCTTTGTCCCCGCAGACAGCATGACTGGGGGCTCAGAGTTATGACCCCCAAACTTCACATCACTGGGCCAGCCCTCCTCATGGTCTAGTTTTTGGAAGTTATTGGACAATGTGTATTTTTGGCTCCCATACCCACGACACACGTGGACTCAGTTTGAATCAGTAGTTTACTTTACTTAAGTAAACTTGTATGTGCACAGAGAAGACATTTACTAAACGGGCTTTGGAACAACAGGATCAACCATACCTTTCACTTTGAAAAGGAGCATAAACATATACACTGAAGATAGGAACTTGCCGGAAGTCCACAATTCAAACCAGCCGAAAGCACTTGAAAAGCAAGACGTTTTCAAAATAGATTCGACATTTCTCCCCCCACACACCCATCTTTTCTGCTTTGTCCACGTAACAGTTAAGGACATGGTACCTCCCCACCTTTGTTTTCTCAAACATTAAACCAAGCTGCACGATTTTGATCTAGTTTTACTAGGAGAGTAGTTTCACCGGGTGGAGAAATAAACGCAAGGTTTACAGAAGCAGTCCCTCTTATGCAGTCCATAACTTCTGGTTCAGAAGCTCATGCTGCCTAAGGCCCTGGTTTTTAACTGTGGTCTGCGGGGTCCCGAGGATGGGGGCCTTGGTGGCCGTGTGTGGACCTGGGCCTTGAGAAACCTCCACACTTCAACTTTGATCTGTTTTGTAAATGAAGCTTCATTAAAAAGGATCCTCCTGGGCTTCCCTGGTGGCGCAGTGGTTGAGAGTCCGCCTGCCGATGCAGGGGACGTGGGTTCGTGCCCCGGTCCGAATAGCGCGGAGCGGCTGGGCCCGTGAGCCATGGCCGCTGAGCCTGCGTGTCCGGAGCCTGTGCTCCGCAACGGGAGACGCCACAACAGTGAGAGGCCCGTGTACCGCAAAAAAAAAAAAAAGTATCCTCTTGCTTTGAAAAGTACTGATTTTAAAAGTGCAGTGTTCTGAAAAGAGACCATTCTCTGACCGCCGTGAACGTGGTGCTAATCTTTTCCTTTCTGACCTCTTCGCCGTTCTCGTTTCTAGTTAGCCTCTGCTGACTTCTGTGTGAGGTGAATAAATTGCATCTAAAATACCTGCAGCCATAAAACCTAAATTGTGTGTCTCCTATGTCCTCTTCTTTTCGCAATGAAAACCAACATTTGAGTGTTGGGAACTATTAGGTCCATAAGGAAAACAACTTACCAAGTAGACCATCCACCAGGGCCACACGAGCAGCAGCGGCACGGCCTGAGGACAGAGCAGTTTCGGGGGAAGAGGGCCGCATGCCTAGTTTGTTGCTTCGCTGTCCTAACAGTCGGGAAGCAGTCCATAGGAAATTCAGACAGCTTACTTGTCTCAGACAGAAGAGGAATCTTAAGTGGATTGGGGTCAGGTGCACTCAGGGTTACCATGGGTGGCTCTGTTCACCAGACAGCAGTAGCAATTAGTATCAGTCAACAGTTGTCAACTAAGTAGACTGTGACCGGTTGATAAGTTATCAGCCTGACAATCATTTTATTGTAATCAGGTCTATAGCTTCAGTGGCAATTAGAACCATATCTGTATCTAATAGATTGTCTGTGGCGACATCCTCACTTCAGCTTGTTCACTCATTTGTACCAAGGTCAGCTGACTGTTTCTAGGGTACCTTTATTTAACACACCTGAGCAAAACACAAAGCGGGGAGGGCTTGAAAGTTTTGAGAATTCAGCGGTCACCAGCGAACCTTGGGGAATACCATTTAAAGAACTTGTCCCAGAATTCAGTCCTACGTCCTCTTTGCAGCCATGGTCTTAGGAAACTACTCCCTAAACAGAAATCCCGTCAGTGTGGTTCCTAAATGGGGTGTGGGTGTGCCTTGTTTCACACTGACTGCAGCTACGAACAGACATTAGGCATAGATTTATTTTATTGCCTGACACAGCATATTTTCTTTCCACATAACTCAATTAACTTTCATCTCCCTGAGTCCTTTAATAAGACTAAGAATTCTTTCTAAAAATAAACATGGGACCACAATAACTCTACATCACCAGGGGTGACTTTACGTCCTTAGTGTAATTCAACAGTGAGAGGTAAGAGTTGGAGGTTTCAGTTACGTTAGCACACCTTTTACATCCGTTTGATGGATTCGCTTTTTAAAATGTGATTGTAAAATATTTCCTTGTCTCGTAGGCAAGTCTCGGAAAACCAGCCCCTCTGCCAGATCTTCAGCCGAGTCCAGCGTGAAGTCTTTCAACAGGAATCAGCTGGGCAGCTACCCAACCTTGCCTCTAACGAAGCCAGTAGACGCGCTGAAGCCGGGAGGGGAGGGGAGGCTGGGCAGTGGTCTCACCCCTCACACCTCCAAGCACTGTGATCCCCCATGTGTGACTGACTTGAATAAAAACCGAAGGAGCCTCCCCGTTTCCATCTGCCGGAGCTGTGAGACCCTAGAGGGCCCCCAGACCGTGGAGACTTGGCCCCGATCCCACTCCCTGGACGACCTTCAAGGAGAACCTGAAAAAGATGTGCCTGGTGAGGTGACAGAACCTTCCCCTCAGATTGTACCCAAAGTGCCACAAAAGACAGCACCCTCCATCACAAAGGTTCAAAGCCCCAACCTAGATTCTGCTGTTGACAATGCACTGCTACTGACCCAAAGCAAGAGATTTTCTGAACCTCAGAAAACGACTACTAAGAAACTGGATGGCCCGATGGCTGCCTTTTCACAGGGCACATCCCCTCCTCCGTGTTTACCCAAAACCTATGACGCCCAACTGCCTGCCGTTAAACACGGTTTAACAAGGACGCCTCTTGAGGGTCACAGGAAAGGACTCGATTTCGAAGGGACACATCACCCCCCGGGCACCAAAGAAGGTGTGGATGCTGAGCAGAGGGGCCCCGAGGCCAGATCGCAGGCCAGACCTCCCACCCAGCCTCCCCCCGTCCCCGCCAAGAAGAGCAGGGAGCGCCTCACCAACGGGCTGCCTCCTGTCCCTCCCGGCCCGCCCAGCGCCCCTGGCCCCGATGCACCCAGCCTGCCCCTTAAAAAGGGCAGCCCCGGCGGCCCCAGCGACTGTCCCCCGCCGCCAGTGGCCAGGCCTCCCCCAGTGCCGGAGCCGGGCGGCCCGCCAAGCGCCAGGCCTCCACCCTGGCTGTCGGAGCTGCCTGAGAGTGCCAGCCTCCAGGAGCACGGCGTGCGGCTTGGCCCTGCCCTGGCCAGGAAGGTCTCCTGCACCCGCGGGGTGGACCTGGAGATGCTCACCGAGAAGAAGCTGCGGGCCGAAGGCATCGATCTCACCGAGGAGCCCTATTCCGATAAGGTATCCGAGGCCCTGACCCCACTGCACAGGCTCTTCTAGGTCGGGCGGGGGCCAGGCGAGAGGAGCGGCATTGCCCCCCACCTCCCAGCCCCTGAAGGCCAGCTGGCAGCGAGGACCGAAGCACAGTGACTGTACGGGTGGCCCACGGCGGGGGCTCCTGCCGCCCCCCGCTTGGTGTTCAAATGAACCTGTAGCACAGTGCCCAGATTAAATGCAGACACGGCCTCAGGGGTCTCTTCTCTTTTCCCTTCTTTTCTCTTCTCTTCTTTCACTTGTTTGTATTGAATTTGGGGCAGCTATCCTTTGCAGGGAGAGCCATCAGTCAGTACTAGACCCAGTTCCTGAAAGGATAGACGTGAGTTCCAGTTTCCATGTCTTCTTCAACATCTTTGTTTTTAGACTTTAACAAATCCCCATTTCATTTCCCTGTGCGTAAAATGGAATTAATAATGACCTGCATAACTGCCTCTTAGAGGTATTAATAGGAGCAAATAAAATAAACCTGAACCTACTTTGAAAATTGTAGAGCCTTATTCAGATGTAATAATTGTACTGTATAATTATCTGTAAGGGTAACAGGGGAAAAGATACCTCATTGTACTAAAAACATTGAGACCTATAATGAAAACTCATTTTTCATTTGAAGAAAAATAAAGGAGTAGATCTGCCAATACCATAATGACTTTCAATACAAATACACGGTAATAGATGTAGCTGTATGTTACTCCTAGGAATGCATGAATTGTTATAATGCATTCCCAGGAGTCTTTGTTATAAACTTCTTATGACCAAGAGTGCCTTACGATAAAATACTCCTCTGCCTTCTGATACTTAGTGAATGAACCCCTTTGAATGGAAAGTTGTGAGAATTCTACTGTACAGTAAATGCTGGTCTAGTGATACAGCGGTGTAACTCTACTCTGTAGTTGAGGAACCAACAGTAGACTCTCTGTAGGGCACAAATTTGCCCTTCTCCCCTGCAGTTTAGAAGACTGTCTTCAATAACATTTTGCAAAATGATCAGATAAGAGTGAGGTGAGGGCGTTGGACCCCAAAATAGAGAATGATTGTGTCCTGTTTTAACCATATTTCAAAACATTTTTCTAGAGCTCATAACTACTTAAAAGATAAAGACGTAAAAGTATTGTCTCTAAAACATCCATCCTGACACTAAATAAAATATATTCACTTCAAATTAAAACTTTTAGTCCTGTTTTCTAGTAGCGAAATGTCTTATCCTACCTTGTGTTTGCCGTCCTTGGAGAAGGAAAAAGATCCTCGCAACCCTCGCTAAGAGATTTCTGTTCCCTTGCAGCATGGCCGCTGTGGGATTCCTGAGGCCCTGGTACAGAGATATGCGGAAGACTTAGATCAGCCCGAGAGGGACGTTGCCACCAACATGGACCAGATCCGCGTGAAGCTGCTTCGGAAGCAGCACCGCATGGCGGTAAGCAGCCCACGCTTCGGGGCTCCCCTCACCCAGCTTTTTGAAGTCCATTCAGTTCTAGAGCTTAATGATGAGCATGCTGGCAGCCGCTAAGTAGCCCAGGGTTCATTATAGCTATCGAAGGGAGACACCTGGGAGAGAGTAAGACCTATTCAGCCTACAAAGGTTTAAAAATACCGTTTTGGAGAGAAAAAGATGAAAATTATCCATAACCCCAGCACTGTGAAAAAGTCCCATCTAGTCATTTCTCTGCACATATATGATAGTACTGAACAGTTTGCAAACGTTATTGTTTTCAGTTATCAGGTGGTGAACCTCTTTCTTTGTTACTAAAATTTCTTTTATATTATCAGTTTTTCAAAGTGCTCTAGTAGGTATGTCCTAGTTTAGCCAGTTCCGCATTGTTGAAACATTTAGATTTTTTCCAGCTGTTTATTTTAAACAATTGAGTGAAGAACCTCCTGGTTAATAAATTTTTGTAGACTTTTGGGGTTAATTTCTGAGGATATATTCCTTGAAGAGGATTTGCTTCAACAAGACTGCACAAAATCTTAAGGGTTTGCACGTTTGGTGGTAAATTGCCTTTCTGAGAGGTGTAGCATTTGGCCTTCTCAGGATTCAAGTATAGATGTCCATTTCCCTGCCCTAGCCAACATTTATTATTGTATTTTTAATTCTTTATGACTATATTGATTAAATGCTCAATTTTCTGGATGTTAATGTAGATCCCAAATACAGAAGAAAATCTACTTTATAAAAACCTTACCCACTGAGTATCTTACTTTTCACATTATCACGTAGGTTTGCTTCTTCAAGCACCGTAAGGATCATTAGTTGAAGAGTGTGACCACCATGAGACAAAATAGCCAGAAATATACATGATTACAGTTTGGAGACTTACACACAAAATTGGGGTTAGGTCTAATTCCAAGTACCTTCTGGAACCTCCAACACTTCCTTGAAGATTTGTGTCACCTTTGAGAAGTCAGGAAATTATTTATTTATTTATCTATCTATCTATCTATCTATCTATTTATTTATGGCTGTGTCGGGTCTTTCGTTTCTGTGTGAGGGCTTTCTCTAGTTGCGGCGAGCGGGGGCCATTCTTCATCGCAGTGCGTGGGCCTCTCACTGTCGCGCGGCCTCTCTTGCTGCGGAGCGCAGGCTCGGCAGTTGTGGCGGATGGGCCCAGTTGCTCCACGGCATGTGGGATCCTTCCAGACCAGGGCTCGAACCCGTGTCCCCTGCATTGGCAGGCAGATTCTCAACCACTGCGCCACCAGGGAAGCCCAGGAAAGAATTCTTGATGCTAGTCATGTTCTTGGACATCTCATAGCATTATCCCTTTCTGATAGTGTAGTAATAAACATAATATTTCATAGTGTTCCTTTTAGGCATAGAAGAAAGAGCTCTCCAGTGGCACCTGTTGAATCTTGATAAATTGCTTTCTTTGGTTACCCAGATCCCAAGCGGTGGACTCACAGAAATCTGTAGGAAGCCCCTATCTCCCGGATGCGTTTCATCCGTGTCGGATTGGCTGGTTTCCATCGGTCTACCCATGTACGCCAGTGCCCTCACTGAAGCGGGCTTCAGCACGCTGGGCCAAGTGCCTTCTCTGTCCCACACTTGCCTTCAGGAGGCTGGCATCACAGAGGAGAGACACATAAGTAAGCTCGTGTCTGCAGCCAGACTCTTCAAACTGCCACCAGGCCCCGAGGCCATGTAGTCAGGCCCGAAATGGACCTCCCTGGACAAGAGCCACCCGTTCACTGTGTTTATGATGCTGATGCAATTCCTCCTTGGCTGGACATGCAGACCAGACCCAGAAGAAAGGCCCAGTGTGTGGCCAGCAGAACTCGGAATCTTGGCACGGGACTCTCTTCTCCAGAAAAGCCCCCTCCAGGAAATTGGTGTGGTTCTCTTTGACCCCCAAAGAAAAGACAAGCACTTATTTTTGTTTTCAGGACACAATAGAACAAAGATGCCAACTTGCCACAAATGCTCTGCCTGCAGTCTGTCTTGGTGCACTGGGTGAGAGCAGGGGGCAGAGGGAGGGGCAGCCTGTCCTGTTTCTAAGCGTGCTTCTAGCCCTTCTGTCTGTCACCCTGCAGGGTTCCCGAGGCCCAGATGGGCTTTAGCCAGGCCAAAGTAACAGACTCGGGAGTGATTGTACACTATTGACCAGGCTCATTTGTTCAAAAATAAGAAAATCTGGCTGCACTAGGAAAAAAAAAAGCCCTATTCTCCTTTAGATAAACAAGAGACATTTTAATAATTGCTTTCTAGCAATCAGCTTTTATTTGCCTTAATGTAAGCTTTTAAGCAGTTATCTAACTTAGTGTTCACTACCATGTAACCATAGCTCCAAATCTTCATCTTAGACTGCCATCTAACGGATCTGGGATGTTTCCAGCAGAAATGGGCTTTTCTAATTGTCTCACTCTAACATGGCTTATTTTATAGGGGTGTTTATCAGGCCAAATTTCATGTTGACTTTCAGTTTTTAAACTAACTACAAATCTGGTAAAAGGCGCTCTTAAATTCACAAAGATATCATGTGTGAGAGTATATGTGTGTGTTTGAGGTTACGATCTTTCATTTTAATCAGTTTAGTGTTGTTACCACGTTGGTCATTGTGCTGCAGTATTGACTTGGAATCTTGACTGTGTCCATTCCAAAATTCAGTCATTAGCTAACAGATCACCTTTGCAAAAGGTCATTGTAAGTTGAACATTTAAGGAGGTTGTTTTTTAAAAGGGAAGTAGTTTATAAGATATTTTAAAAGTTTTTTTTTTTGGTTTTATAATTAAAATACTATTTTCCATCTTTTCTTATTTAGATAATTCACTTAAATATAATAAAGGTTCATTTTGGAGCCAAACTACATTGGCCATGTATTAAGTAGTTGCATATTTTCAGTTGTCTTCTGACTGATTTCAGCATTCTCTTTTAGTCTAGTGGCTGATTCTCTAGCAAACAGAAATTATTGTTTCCAATTGCTTACAAAGTGATTTTCCTTTACATTCTTATCGTGAACCCTATTTTAAGCACTGGGTGTGATCATTTACAATAGAAATGTTTGGAGCCTTGATTTAAAAGTTCTGTAATACTTCATCTACTCATTAAAACAAATGATATCCCTCAGGGGAAGGGGGAAAAAAGGTGATTTCGTTAATTACAAAACCATTTTACCATTTGCTTTATATATCTGGGTCCATGTTTCTGAGGAAAAGGACATTCTCAGGTGACATATTTTTTTTCATGCTTTTGGTATGCATTTGAAAGAATAATATATATTTCTTCAATAATAGTCACCTTCTATAAGACGCCATGTAAGAAGTTGTGGAAATGTAGAAAAAAAGCTAAAGTTGCCAAATTTCTGTTGAACTCTTCAAAACAGCCCATTTTTGTCATCTGGGGTATGACATTCCTGTGGGCTGTGACATTCCATTTAGAAGGTAATGAGGCTGCAGGGCTCTCCTACGTCACTGGAAGGAATTTCAGGTGTGTGGTGAGGTGGGCACTGTAAAACGGGCTCCTCGCCCTGCGTTTTCAGTACCTCAGCATGACATCCGAGAGAGCCTGCTCATAGCTTAAGCTGAGCTAAAAGACCACACGTAAAGTCAGGTAATAGGTAACAAAGGAGAAGGGGAAAGTGTTAGTTCATTTTCACGGTAAGATTTTCACTTAATGTAAAAGTGGTACCAGAAAAGGGAGCCTTCTGAATATGAGTTTCCGAGAACGCCAAACTGCATCTTTTTCATTCTTCTTTGGACATCATTGCCTTTGCATAGAGGTGAAATTCAGGGACCATGAATCATTTTCAGTGGGAAGGGCTTCCTAGTCTGTGGGATCTGAGGTTATTTTTACTTTATTGTGCTTTTTAAAAAAAAAATTTTTGTTTTTGTTTTTTTTACTTTTAGTATTCGTTTGGTCTTCTTTTGCTTTAAACTTTTAATTTGATCTTAGAAAAGCCTGAATGTGTGTGTGTGATGTTTGACCGAGGTGGTTTGGGGCCTCCTGTGGATACCAGAAGGCAGGTGGTCAGCTTCAGCAATATCCAGTTTTAATCCACTGCACTTGGTGCAGAACGTTGAGGAAGGGTGAAAATCGTCGTCTTTGGAAAGCACAAGAGAAACCTGGAGAGGCACTTTGGCTCAGGTAGCTACACATCCGTCGTGTGTCATTGTTTCCTTTGAAGCTGTCTACAAGGAAGTGCAGCCAGTCCCAGCCACTACTTACATTCCCGGATAAGCAAGAAGTAGATTTTCCTGGCCTTGCCTTAGTCAGAGGCCTTTTCTCTTTCCAGGTCTAGGTGAAATTGGAAATAACTAGTCGATTGAAAATCAGTTCCTCACAGAGCAAAGTTTGCTTTCATAATTGCAGCAAAAGGAGTCAGTTCACCAAGTCAATGCTGCATGTGTGTACTGTATTATTTTCAGAAAAAAAAATATAATAGTCTGAGTCCAAGTTATCTCGATTTTAAATTGATAAACAAGAAACTGTCGAGCAAATTATATAACAACTAACAACATTGCACTTTCTGTATATGAAATCAATATTTAAATAACTTATTTTTCTCCATTGCTGTTCTTAAACATTGTAAGTAGCTGTAATATACCAGTACCAATATGTTCTTGCGATTGCTTCAGCCCAAGAAAGCTGTGTATTGTTTTAAAAATTGTAAAAATTATTGTGATGATTCATTTAGCAAAAAGGTGGACAGAAGGGTTTTCCTATGTATCAAAACTTGTCTATAATTATGTCATCTATGTACCTAGAAAAAAAAAGTAAATAAATTTCTTCAGTTGAGTATGCCTCTTTTGTTGTGCCCTGGGTATTATAAAGGTACATAGGGTAGAAATGAAAGGGAATTTATGAAGTGTGGTTTAAGAATGAAATATATTGTAAAAATAGTAGTTGTACACAATTACTTCTGCCACATCACAAAAACTCACTATCATACTCACTCAGATTCTCTTTGCCAATTTATTTCAGGTTTTTTTCAAATATTGCATAATCAAGTCACATAATTGCAGCATCTTAGCCCAGAAAGAGATTTTTGGAAGCCACCTCTGGTCTAAACCCGTTGTTTTCAAATGAAGAGTTTCAGTCCACGCAGACTTGCCCAATATCATGTGTAGTTAAATGGAAACAATCCAGGTCTTCCGTTGAGAGAGAAAAACATCTAGATTGGGATATTCTAGAAATCAACTAACTTGACAAAAATCATTTTTCAATGTTAGTGTGCCACAGTTGATATAAAAACACATTTTTCATTAGGAGGGAGTGTGTAATACAACATTTTTAGTAGGCAAAATGTGCACTTGAGACAGACCAAAAAGTGACCCTTTCCTTTTCTCTCAGCCACCTATTTCTCACACTACAGGTAAGTATTATAACCAGCGTTTCCATATCTTTTCAGAAATGCTGTGTTTATTGACAAAGATAACTGCATGTGCATTTTTCCATATAGGAATGACAGCATTTCCCCACACTTCTTCACTTAGCACGTGGAACCGCTATGTTAAAGTTACGAGTATTTAAAATTTTGATAGAATAGTTTAAATCCACTGGTGGATTTCAATATAGGAAGCTCTACCATGGTAGGTTTTATTTACAAATCATTGTTTTATTCCCCACTCCCCCTTTCATATATTCTTAAAGTCGGGGATTCCTCTGAAGCGCTGCATTATCTTAAAGAACTGACCGTAAACCTCAAATCTTATTTATCTCAGGTTGACTCTTAAGGTTCTATCGTTCAATTCACAGAAGATACTTTTTTCTTATGATTCCTAAGAAGCCTTGACTGGATTCTTGGTATTTGTTCTAACTTGGCTTCATGTTTGGATATTTATGTTGAATTCACTTAGAAGCTATAAAGAACGTAAGTTTGATTAGGGAAAGGAGAAAAGGGAAGGGTGGCTGTCGTTTAACCACAACTTATTTGGGGGCCTTAGAATGATGACGTCACTCAGCTCTGAGGACCCACTCAGAGAAAAGTATGTACACAATACTCTTAGGGGTGTGTGTGAGGGAGTGAGAGACAGGAGAGGACGGATGCTCACTCAGGTGTAGGTCTGGACCACTCGTCCGTCAGGGGACCACGGGCAGCGTTATTTGGAAGCATTCCAATTTCTCATACAGCGCTCCTCCTACACTGTCAGAGAAGAACACTGAAAAGGGAGTTTAGCCGTCACCTCTCTAAAACTTCAGCAAAATACATGAAAGTTCTAGTCAAACCAGGTTTGAGCCCAGTATGGAAGGACCCCAGGGTACGTGTGTGGGAGCCAAAGGAGTTACGACTAATCTGATTGCAATTTACTACCATCCCCATTCATCCTCAACACTCCAGTGATAAATATGGTCGGAGCCATAAGAGATGTGTACAAAGAGCTGGGGGAGCCAGAGGGGAAACTGACTCAGTCTGGAGTTGTGTTGGGGGGGGCGGTTGGAGCCCAAATGGAGGAGGTAGTTACGTGGATTCTAACTGTGCATCTGTGTGCTAAGAATGTTAGACTCTGTTAAAAAACAAAAATCTTGAAAAACATGAGAAAATATCTTCTGTGTCCCCAAACTCCTGATCCACTTGGCTGTCATCGGGAGTAGACCATGGCTTCCCCTACTTAATAGAAAAATTGGAGACCATCCATTGGGCCATCTCTCTGGACCTTCTTTCAGCTCACTTGCAAAACTCCCCTGCATCCTCCCCTAGTCTTTCCTCCTCGTTCCAGCCATGACAAAAGGGGTGTCCCTCCATCTGTCTAGTCCTACCTGTGCTCAGGATCCTGTCCTGGGACCCCCCCCCCCCCGCCCAGTCATCATATATTCCCTCATTTCTCTGGATCTTCCCCCTTGAACATGTTTGCAATAGACTGTCGCTGTCTTTTCCAGGCTGGCCCAGATTGCCCCTTTTGGGATAAGCACACTCTGCATTTCCTATGCAAGAACTAGTATCCCCTACATTTCAAGGGATCCTGGTGCAACTTTCCCTGCAGTGTCCCCGGCACCCTCCGAGCAGTGAGCACAACTCCATTCAGCCTCCTTTTGCCCAGACTTGGGCTCTGGAGCTGCAAGTCAGATACACGAGAGGGGCTGCAGCTGAACTGTGCTGATGGTGGTGCCCACAGAGCCCAGGGAGCCCAGGAACTGAGGTGCCTGCCTGTGCCTTCCCGGGCTTTCCAAAGCTTGTTCTGCCTTTCCTTGGATTCCTTTGCCAACTACCATCAAGCATCTTTACTCACGTACCCCTAAAATAATATCCCCAAAGTAAGGACTCCCTCGCACATTTTAAAGTTGCCCTCCCAAGGTTACCAATCATAAGTTTAAATAATTGCGAGACTGTACATTTCTAGCTTTTTGTAAATATTTGCATTTTAGAATACAACTGCAACATTACTTAAAAAAATATATCCAATGGAAAATAAATACCACAGCAGTTTGATACTACCATTGTCCACTGAAAGAGCAAACAAAAAATTTTACTCTCCTTCAAAGCCTATAACCATTCTACTTCCTCCACACATTTTTATCCTGATGGAATATATTTTGTATCTGTGTGTCTTTTTGATCATCTGACCATATTTCCCTGTAATAAAAATGTTTGTGAATTTAAGTTCAATTTTTTTTTCATTTCTTTTGATCATTAGGCTCTATTTGTAAAAAAAAAAAAAAAAAAACGAAAACCCTGGGTTTAGTTATACTTACCATGATTATTATTAATCAATTATCAATATAGACATATTTCACAGTTTTTGATAAATAATGATAAAATATAAAACTTAAAGTGTGATTGGAAAGGTCTCTCAGTTGGATGGCAGAGGTGGGCAGGTGCCTTATGGCCCCCCGGTTTATAGAAGATGTTGCAACCCCAGTTATTTCAAGTTTGACTAATTGCTGGGAGCCCCAGACATCTCTACAACATTTTGCTTTGTGTGTGTGTGTGAAGTGGGAGAAGGGCATTTATGAAAGAGATGGGAAAGGAATGCCAGCAGGAGGTATCCTCAGGCAGATCAACTTTAGGACTCTATTAACTTGGAAACAGATTCCCTTATTAAAGCTATCCCAGGCAATGGAGCCTTGGGAAAGAATCCCAAATTGAAGACCTTTGCGGTGGGCTACATGGGCTTCTTAGAGCAAATCCCTTTTCTTGCCAGAACTATTTGTTGCTTTTACCTGTGAAGAAAATTCCATCAACCAGATCAGTGTTCATCATTCCTCATTTAAAACATTCTCTCTCAACTCCACATTTCCCTTACCTAGATAATCCCCCTGCCCCCCACCCCTCTCTTGATTTTCACAAATATCTTGAAATTTTTTCCTGCTCTTATTGTCTCTTCTTCGCTATCCTTCATAGATTCCCCAGCCCATTGCTCTCTGGATACACCCGAGGCCACCGTTGGAAGCCACGCCCTGATTTCCAAATCCTCCTGGTCTTCTCTGCAGCGTCCTCTCGCTGCCCTTCCCAAGCTTCCGCTTCCCCACTCCTACCCACCCCGTCTGCCTCTGCAGCAGCTGCCTCTCCGTGTCCCTCTCCCCACCCTTTGAATGAATGTTCAGGAACCTCAGACATCCATCCCAGGGCCTCTTCTCTCCCACGGTGATCTCTCTGTTTCACCTTGAAGAACCTGCTTAGAGTAGAAGATGTAATCCCAAACATCGATCGTTTAAGAAATGTAATGCCTTTTTTTTTTTCTGTTTTTGGCTGTGGGGCTTGTGGGATCTTAGTTCCTGGACTAGGGATTGAACCTGGGCCCTTGGCAGTGAAAGCACAGAATCCTAAACACTGGATCACCGGGGAATTCCCGAAAAGTAATGCTTTTTTTTTTTTTGCAGTACGCAGGCCTCTCACTGCTGTGGCCTCTCACGGCCGTTGCGGAGCACAGGCTCCAGACGTGCAGGCCCAGCGGCCATGGTTCACGGACCCAGCCGCTCCACGGCACGTGGGATTCTCCCGGACCGGGGCACGAACCTGCGTCCCCTGCATCGGCAGGCGGACTCCCAACCACTGCGCCACCAGGGAAGCCCCCGGAAATGTCATGCTTTTAACTGATAGGATACCTTGTACAACAAGAGACAAGAGCAAACCACGTGTTAAAATACCTTCCCAGCTATTTGCTTGTGAGGCTAAATATGCCTCTTCTGGCACCACCTCCTCTTGTGTCCTTGTGGTGTATCCAGCATCTGGGCTCCAGAATAAAGCCAAAGGAGAACAGGCAGAGGCTGGATTCAGCTGTGGGGGCAGCATCGTTCTCTAATTTCTATAAGAATATTCCACAGTCTATTCTTAGGGAGTCAGTTCTATGGTTTCTGTAGATCTGGAAGGCTGCCACTCAAGACGTCCTCTGGTCCCTCACGGGTCCATCCGAGCCTGTGACACTACTTGTCCTCCAATGGGTAGAAAGCACGGAGAGGGTGGTTAAATCAGCTAATTACCGGACAGAGCTCTGTAATGAGTGCTTAAGGCAGTGTACCTATTGTATTCATTCAATCAACTCCAAGTGGTCATTTATTATCATCCTTGTCTTACCAGAGCACAAACTTCATGAGAGCAGGGACTTTTTGTTTACTCCTATGTTCCCACATCCAGAACAGTGCCTGACACGTGGGGGTGCAGAATAAATACATATGACCTGAATAACAAAGTTCAAAGAAGGTAAGACAGTTTTCCAGGGTGACACAGCCAGTAAGTTACAGGACTGACATTTGAACACCAGCCTGTCTGACCCTAAAACCATGCTTCCTGTAGTATGATAACGACTCCAGCAAAGATACTCCCCTGCAGTCCCTGAACTTTGCACTTTCAATTCTGT